ATGAAGTGCATGATGTTAGTTTTGTCTTACACAACTCTGCAGGGGTCCTATTTCACAAACAGATTGCCAATGTATTACTGGCAGCCAGATATTTTCTTTACTGTGGTGCTGGAGCTTGATTTCAGGAAAATATTTTGAAAGTCTTGAAAGCTCACTTTCACTGGGAAAGGCAGCACGTCCAATCTGTGTGCCTCTCATGCCCCAATTTATACATGACAGTTTGCGGCTTTTTCCTACGTAGTGGTTTTAAAGCAAGAAAAAGGTCAGACTTGAAGTGGCTCTACATTATACCAAATTTAGCTTATATGTTCAGCTAGGGTAGGACTGCCCATTTCAACACTCAAATTGCCAACCTTTCTTTGGCCAGCATTTCCCTGCTGTTTTCAAACACAGCATATGCAGTATAGTTCTTAGCCAGAAGCAGTCTCATAATTCTTCTGCTTGTTTTCCATGCCATGCTGCAAAAATCTTGAGTTGTGGTTTCCACCTACTGGGGAATTAATGCTAGAACACACTGATTTCCCTCCTAAGCAATTTTGGTAGCCTTAGCAGCACCTGGTGTCCTTGTTATTAGGTTCCATTTTTTAAACATACGTGATTGTATTCATCTATTTATGAATGTAAGTGTAGAAGATAAAACAAAAACCAGCACTTGTATAAATTGTATAAGCAACCAAGTCTGAATAAATTCTAATGAACTCTTTAATGTGTTCACCAGCCTAATAAACAATATTCACTAGCTATTCTAAGAAACCTAAGAATCTTGCCTATTTATTCCTACAATGCTTCAGGATGTCCCTGGTTAATATCTCACCTCTTCCATGAACATAGTAGTTATCCTTATGTAGATAACAATCTGCCATACAAGCATAACAGTGTTGAAACCAACAAAAACATTACATCCGTAGTACAATTTCTGCTCCTGCAACAGAACTTCCCCGTCCTTTCCTAATCCTGCAACTTCACCCAATCTACTCTTGAGGGTTTGGGAAATTCGCAATCTGATTAGGGACATATGATGAAGAGGTGGGAGTGGAGGTTCAGTTCATTGGATTCAACCCGCAATTTACAAGGCTGTTGTAATAATTAACAAAAAATAACTCCCCACGAGCTGGGGAGAAGGAAAGCACCCCATAGCAAAAAGAAATAAAATATACTGGCAGAAATACACATTTGTTTTTTATTCCAGGCTCTTCTTTTTAACTTTTCAGAAAGAAAATTCGGCACGCTTCCCAAAGTTTTTCCTCTTTTAAATGTTTTCCAACACATTATATTGACTGGTATGAAAAAGAACCAGAAACATAGGAATAAACTGAAATGTTGGGGGGTATTTTATACCCCATATGCTTTTCATGCATACAAGATGAAAACTGTAGGAATTAAGTAGCTGAAATTTGATGACTTGGTTATTACTGTGCAAGTGAGAAGTCCTAGAAGAATTTAGTTATATCTGCAGTGAAAAACACATACAGTGTAGGATTGTGCCCCAGCACTGCCCAAAATGATTAAGAGCACCTAGTAAAAATGGCAACATTCTCTGAGTGTAGGATCTCCCACCCAGGGGACATTCAAGCATGTCAGCTTCTACCTAGTCTGAAGTGGTCTGGTCCACACATAGGCCTCCAACCACTTCAGTGAGAGCTTGGCAAGGGCAATACAGAAAACATTTCCTTATTCCAACTTCAGGTCCCTAATGTGTTATTGGTCAAGTGCAAATACTGTCGCCCATATCAATGAATGGCTATCATTTACATACAGTACAGTATATTGAAAAAATTAAGGTACACTCAAGGACAATGTCTTCCACATAGACCCTAAGCATCAACAAATATTTTGCTAGTTGTACATTTTAAAAAGTCATACCAAGGTAGTCAATGAATTTCTTTTCATATAGAGTCTCTCCAAGTATTGCAGTCCTTCATCCTTCAGCAATTCTAAAGGGAAGTGATGGAGATTTCGGTAATTTAAGAATAAGTTCTTGTGCCTTTCTAGCTTTGCCTCCAATATTGTTTTACAGAGTTCTGATGCCATGACAGGTTTTGTCCCAGCCACCATGTTAGAACTCTACACATCACAGAAGTTCATTTCTAAAAGGGAAAGCAAAAGACAAGTAGTGTTTTAATAAGGCTCTTACTTGGTTTTCCCATAGCACTATTTTTCTGAAACATGCTTGTTTATTTTAAACATTCCTACATCCCCCTGTATTCAAAAGACAGGTAACAAAAGTAGAAACCAAATAAATATGAAATTGAAGGAATTGTGGGGGGGACGGGACCACACAATACAGCACTAAGATCTCAAATGTAAAGCCATGTATATCTATCTACCTTTAGGGGAAACAGATATCCGACTAGTTAGCAAGAAGCACTTTTCAATCAATGAACTATTAGTATTTGACATCAACATAAATTATTTCGCCTAGGAAAGTAATGAATGGCTGGAAACAGACAAGACTTTTTGAAGATTCCTGAAGATGATTTAGGGGATGCATTCCCATATGTGTACCTAAACAGGCACACTTAATTTGTTTCACTGTTGTCTCTGGGCAAATAAGTTGTGCAGATTTTCCAATACAATACAAAAGCCTGTTTATTAGCAGAGAAAGTGGGGTAAGCATACACATCATGAACAGTAATTTCCTTCAGTTCTTTCAAGACAGATAAAAGCTGTCTCCAGACTATAGTATACCACACAAGCATAAAAGCTAATACAAGTAGAGTTATGGCACAGGAGATTTTATAGTAAGGCTTCAAACTCCCAAAATATATTTATTTGAATGAACTTGTGCATTTCAGGAGTACTAGGATTTAAATCAGTCAAAAAACCAGCATGGACTACTTTTCCTAAGACAGATACGGAGAACTTCTACAGATGGCAGCCCTAACTGCAAGACTCTCCTAAATCAGAAGCAATAACAAGAGGGAAAGGGTCTGAAGGGTACCAAGGAACATCACTGCATAACAAGGAAGAAGAAATGGTGGTACAAATGGCTGAAGCCTTTCTGCCACTCTAAGCAATGTTTATTCTTGATAAATTCTGGGGCATATTTTCATGTTTTGCAGATATCAATGCAAGCGTAAAACAACTCAAAAAGGGAAGCTGGCATGGTAGGCCTCTGAATCATGCCTAACCTCTATAGTTGAGCGAACCCCATTACTAGCTTAGGCTAGGCCCCAACCCAGGCAGAGGAAAAACGTCTACATGAAAGCCACAAGATGAATGCATATATGTGTCACACTTTGCATATGTGGCATGATACTAACACTGGTCACAGCTTCTGTTCCAACTTATGTGCAGCCCAAGAGATGCATGTGCCTGTTCACTAATAAAGGGCATGCTTTGTGTATATATGTACAGGATTCAATTCTCTGCATCTTCAGGTGATGTCAGTCAAGAGTAAAGTGGAATAGCTAACTGCTGCCCTCCAGATGTTGTGAACTACAGCTTCCATCATCTTTGACTACTAGAGATGCTGGCTGAAGACAGTTCAAAGTACAAAATATCTGTAGGACTTGGCACAATGGTGGCTATCCCTGCTGTATACAGGGATCCCAAAGCAGAAGGACAAACTTTCAGACACGGTATAAAGCAGCTTCGTTTGTTCCATGACATGTGGAAATCCCACCTGAGGACTATCATAAGATATTCATAAACCAGGAAATAACACTGGACATAATTCAACCAGGAGTACATTTCACCCTACTAGGATACTCTACCATTGGTCTGAAGGTGGCCATATTTGAACAAAGGAGTTTCGGAAGGCAGCTCCAGTGTGAATCTGGAGAACTACAATTATTCAGGAAGTTCAACTCTATTCATTTTTGTCTGCAGAGTCAATAGTTTCCTTTCCTCCTTCCCACTATAAATATTAACTCAGCATTGCTAAGGTGATTATTTTTGCCAATCAATAATGTTGTAAAAGTCGTCATGCTTATTCTGCATAAATTCTAGCTTTGGTCCAATTGTCTCTCTACCTGCACCGCTTGCATATAATTTCTCTCTGAAATTTATAGTTCTTCCGCCCCCACATACGCAGCTGCCAACCAAGGATTTAACATTTAACACATCTACGGTACTGAAGTGGATTTCTGCCCACAAACGCTTATGCCACAATTAGATGTCACAAGACTTCTTCCCATTTTTTAATGCAACAGAATAACACACCAGCCCCTCTGGAAATATTAGGGTTCCCATTTTTATTTGCTACAAGCCGCCTCGACATCTCCCGATAAGAAGCGAATAAATAATAATAATAATAATAATAATAATAACAATAATATTTTTTCGAGGGGCGGGGGGACTGAGGGAGAAAACACAATAATGAGAATGAAGGGGAGCCTGGAAGGAAGGAAAGGGAGCTTATGTCCTAAATGCGGTTTAATCACCGTCAAAGAGAGACCGTTGTTGGGGGACGGGGATGGGTGGCTAGGTGGGAAGAAAGCCCATAATTCGCCCTCACACGTCTCCATGGCAACAACGCCTTTGTCCCGACAGCGGGAGGCAGAGAAGGGAGAAGCAAAAGTCGTCTCTTCTCCACTCCTCACTTCGCTGGATATGCCGCTGGGAAAGGGAGGGCAGCGAGGGGGCGTCGCAACTCACCTGCGTTTCTAAGCTGAGGAGGGCCCAAAATAGGAAGCGCCCTCACTCAGCACAACACGGGGAGAGAAGGGGCGGGGCAGATGGGGGGGAAACACCAACTAACATCAACATCCGGTTAACGAACGGGAGGAGCGGGGAAAAGAAGAGTGGGTGGGGGGAGAACGCGGATTGGAAGCTGGAAGGGGCGGGCCCACAAAGTCACGCGAGAGCTTACTCGCGCGGCTCTTCCGGTCCGTGTCTTAATGAATAAATCGGGCGGCGCTCTTGAATCGGGCACGGGCGAGAGACGGGCGCATGCGTGGCATTGCCTTCTTCTTCTCCATAGGTCCCATAGCTTGTCCTGCTGGCATTGTCCCTGAGCTCTTCCCGCCTTTTTTGAGAGTGAGAGCGCGCGTGCGTGCGGGGCCACGCCCATAACCGCTCTTTTCCCTCAGCAAGCGCGGCCTCCAGTTTCTCTTGAGGGGAAGACTTGGCTATGGATAAACGGTACGCCATGAAATTACATCCCTGCTGCCCCTTCGCTAGTTAGTTTAGGGTTGCTGGGAATTGTAGCCCAGATTTTTCGGATGGGGAGGGAAATGTCCCTCCCATATGTTTTAAAATTTCAAATTCCGCAAATAACAGATGTATGGTGTGTATACGAGCCTCTGGTGTGTTGCCACTGTGGGAGATTTTGCCTTTTCCTCACCTGTTTTAAGGTCCTTGTTTTTCACGGCTGGACTTTAAAAATATATATTCGGGGTGGGGATGGAAATTGACCAACAATTAAAGGGAAATTTAAGAGGAAAATCCTCTGAAAAACTAAAAATATTTTTGCTGATACATTTATGCCAGTTCTTGCGTAAGCAAGGAAGATCTGCACCTCTGACTTGAATAAGGAACTGGAAACAGCAAATAAGGAACTCGAACAACAATTTCCCTAAAATTTGACAAGTCTTTCAAGACAGAAGTCTGGGATTCATGTGTTAAACATATGATAAATGTATACCATGAAATATAATATTTTAAGCCAGAAGGTTGTCAGTTGCACCCTGAATTTCCTTTCTTTCTCATCTGTTCTTCAGAACAGAGTACCTAGTAGCTAGGTTGCTGAAATGTGAAATTAAGATTTTCTGTATTGTTTTTATATCATCATAGCTCCACAGAACTGCCTGACCATCCATTCTCAATTAGCTGCCCACAGGAGAGTTACACTGGATTTATTGTGCTTTTTATACACTCACATAAACTACATGTAAGGTTGAGTAGCAGGAAATTTGATCTTGCAAGTACCAAGTGGATGATGAGTTATTTCTGTTTGGTTTAGTACCTGGAGTGAAGCCATAATGCAACTTCATGCTAAGCATGCCATCATCTTCCCCAGTCTCTCTGATTATTCTTAAGAACCAGGAGAACTGGGGCAGCTTAAACCTTCTCATTGAGAATTATAGAATTGTAGAGTTAAAAGGGACCATAAGGGTCATCTAGTCCAACCCCCTGCAATGAAGGAATCTTTTACCTAACATGGGGCTGAAACCCACGACCCTGAGTTTTAAGAGTTTCATGCTCTACCACCTGAACTGTTTTCATATTTATCTGGGTCCTCGTAACCACAATCAACATCTGCAATAAAATTTAATCATTTTAAATAATGAAACTAATACAGTGGTACCTTGGTTCTCAAACTTAATCCATTCTGGAAGTCTGTTTCAAAACCAAAGCGTTCCAAAACCAAGGTGCACTTTTCCATAGAAAGCATGTAATGTAAAACAAAAAAGTTTGAAAACCTACTTCCGGTTTTTCAGCGTTTGGGTTCCAAGTTCGTGAACTAAGCTATTCAAAAACCAAGGTACCACTGTAATTACTTTGATTTCTAGCTCATTTAAATGTTCAACTAATTGTGTAAATGATGTTCACTGATTTTACTAGAATTGAACCTATTTGTACCTAAGACAGGTAAATTTCAGGTTTGGAATGGAGAAAGCTTGAGAAAAGTTCCAATGATTTTCTGAAATTTGTAATAAACTGTATTTTGTAGTAATTACTTGCTGTATTGTTCTGAAAAGGAGAAATAGATAAAATAAGTGAAATAAGATTTGCCTTCCATTCTACAGATGCAGATGATTAAAAATACATTACCACAACATGTAGTTTCAGAGTTGAATCCTAATATGCTAGGTCACTAGGAAAGAACAGGGCTAATGCCACATATTTTTTCTGAAATACCATATGAGGTTTTCCATTATCTCATCTACTATTTTAAAATACACCTTGTAATACTTGCCTTTGCTTTTCCCTGAAGTTACTATGCAATTCAAGAGTGTCAGGATGGTGAAGTTTTTACTTCACAGCTCTTGTTAAATACCTTTTACCAAGACTTTTAAAATAGGGTTTACACAATAGGGTTCGTGTGTGTGTGTGTGTGTGTGTGTGTGTGTGTGTTTTCTCCCTTCCATCTCAAGACAAATTGTATATCAATAAAGTAGAATGGCTCAAAACCCCAGAATACTTGCTTGAAATTTATTCTTTGAGCTAGAAATAAAGTACCCAATTCCTTTTTTCTTATACATTTTTGTACAGTAACACGTAATACTGTAGTTTTACATTTGGATAGAAGCCCTATATAACAGAAGAGCAAGTGCCTCTTTATTTTAACTTAATACAGTAATGCCTAGATTAACTTGTTAAAATTTTTTTGTTGATGCAGCAGTGCTTAACTGAGTGTTAGGAACAGTGAACTGTCAATGTTGTTTACACTGACCAGTTTTAAAGTCACTTTCTGTGTTTTGAACAGTACTCTACACTGAAGAGCAGATGGCGCTGTTGCATATCTATTGTCCAACATCCAATTTGAAGAGGTAGAACACCATAGTTTTTATATATATATATATATATATATATATATATATATATTTATATTTATATATTATAATGAACTAGGTGGCGTAACTAGATGTAATTAGGGTTGTGTGTGTTCATCAGGAGCAGGGGTCAGCAACCTTTTTCAGCCGTGGGCTGGTCCACCGTCCCTCAGACCATGTGGTGGGCCAGACTATATTTTGGAAAAAAAATATGAACAAATTCCTATGTCCCACAAATAACCCAGAGATGCATTTTAAATAAAAGCACACATTCTACTTATGTAAAAACACCAGGCAGGCCCCACAAAAAACCCAGAGATGTATTTTAAATAAAAGGACACATTCTACTCATGTAAAAATATGCTGATTCCTGGACTGTCTGCGGGCCGGATTGAGAAGGCGATTGGGCTGCATTTGGCCTACAGACCTTAAGCTGCCTACCCCTGATCAAGAGTCATAGAGGCTCCTGAATTTGGTTGAGATTATAATGCTAGGAAATTCTCCCACAATTGCTACTTGCCCTATGGAGGGAAACATACAGATGTTGTATGGATGCCTGTCCATGGAAGACTCTGGTTAGATCAGGAACAGCTTCAAACCCTGACTGTCCTTTAAAAGCAGGCCAGTTATACACAGTATGAAAAGTGAGTGATAAGATTTCCAAAGAGGAATATGTCTGGCCTCTTGGTGGCATATAATGTAACATTGATAAACGTCTACCTGGATTTCTCCAACTACTGTACACTGCTTCTGATTTTTCCACAGTTCCAAAGTTCTCAAAGAAGTACTGTACATTTGAAAACTTACTCATAAATAAGAATATTTTAAACAATGCCCATTCCATACAAACTCATGACAGAGACAGTTGAAAAACAGGAAATTGGAGTTCAGTTTTCTGTGTTATGCATATACATAGTTACACTTTTAAAATAGGGTGTCAAAACTGTGCTCCAGTTCAGGCCTTTCCTGAGAACAAACCCCATGGATTTGATTGAATACTGTACTGTGAATAAACTTGCATAGGACGGCACTGCAAGTGTGTGCTTCCAGCTACACTTGTGTTGTGGTATGAAAATAATCCAAGCTTGGCATGCCTGAAAGGACAACCACTGTCAAACTTTATACTAACACTTCTCCCCAGTACAAAAAAAAGTATCCAAGACATTTCCATTTTGTTTACAGCATTTACATAAATGATATTCAGTTGGAATCTCTTGGGGAGCAAAGTGTACTTCAGTATAAACCTTTAAAGGCCAAAATGTAAAACAGAAGGTGGAGACGGGCAGCCTTGTTAGGAATTGTTTCGCTCTCTGCAGGCCACCGCTGAACCATTTCAAGGTTGTGTGCTTTTTAAAGTATGCAGATGTCTGCATGTCACACAACAGATATTGTAAAGACCTTTATTTAGCTACCTTTCCTACCACAGTCAGCAGCAACTGCAACAGAGCTTTAAGGAAAAACAATATTTTAAAAGTGTTCTTCAGAATGGTCTCCTGTAGCTACAATAATTACCCAGTCCAGGTGTGATTTTCAACAGTGGTCTTCAACCTTGATTAATCCCAACCATGGGACATAGGACTCAGTTTATTTTCTGCTTATGTCCATTTTTCTCCTATTATGTCTGACGTAAGGGACAACTGCATATTCCTGCATTTACAGATGTTTCTCAGGGTCCCTTCTAACTCAATGATTCTATGATATCCAGATGCAAAGGAGGACAACAGAGTGCCTTCACCTTTTACATTGTGTAGGGGCAGCTTCCCATACAGAGGGAGAAAAGATGAACCTTCCAATATCCAATTTGCCACAAATCTGAAATACATATGCTACTTTGCAATGCTATACTTCCATGTTGTTGTTTTAAGCTGTACAACAAAAAGAAAGTGGTGGTGATGCTAGCCAAGGTCTTAGAGTTACCCACTTGTGGATCCTGACCTACTATGAGTCTAAGAAAGAACTTAGTTATGTTTAATAGAGGAGTGGATGTGAAGAGATGGACACAATTTTTCATATGTAGTGGGAATGTGACGTGATAGTATGGTTCTGGTGAAAGTTTTTAAGGAATGTGAGACATTAATTGGACAAACTATAGCAAGATGCACATTTAGATCTGCTGTCTATTTTTGATGGAAATAGATTGTACAAAGAACAATTAACATTTAAGCATGTCTTCAGATAGCAAGAAACTGAAAAAGCAGGGCTGGCATATCTACTGAATGGTGGCATCAACAAATCTGGAATATAGCCTTATCGGGAAAACTAATCAAATATGGGCAACAAAAACTCAAACAGAGCCAAGCACCTTTTTTGCAACATTGTAGGATTTTATTTGACTTTATAAATAAACAAAAGTGATGGTTAGATTCATTCCCCATCCATACATGGAAATCTCTGGAGGAATACTTTAGGATAATTCTTGTTTTATTTTGCTTTGAACTTATGTTCTCCAACACAGCAGTGTAACAATGTGCTTCTACATTTACTGTGTCTGTTATAGAAATAGAGAGAGAGGGGTTTTTTTAACAAACAAACAAACAAACAAAAAACTGTTGGATCTACCCCTCACCCATCATTTCCAGTTTTCTAGTTAGTTTTAGTGAAGCAAAACACTTATATAAACTGCATTCTAATATTATTTACCCACATAATGGTATAAAAATGAATAATTAACAAGAGGAGAAGCCGTCTCTGCTGGGGCACTTGCTATGGCTATATGAGGTCCCAGCTGTGAGAGCCATACTGGGAAAGAAATTTACCAGAAGCCATGAAAAGCTAGATTGGAGATTCATTGAGCGGATTAGACTGTAAATTTGATTTGGTCCAACATAAATCCTTATATAACATCCCTGCATAGAATATATTAAAATGACAATTTCATTTTTAGTGGCCCCAATCCAAAAAAGTCATGTGCAAGAAAGTGTGATGTGCAAATAACTAAAGTCTGGCACAGCAGATGGAAAGGCTCATTCCTATTTACAATACAAAAGAGAATGGACAGTAAAGCACATGCGACATACATGCAGATTTGATGGTTCCTGGCTGTGCTTGTGCCATGGGAGCCGATGAAACATCTATGACTGTGGCACTACAATCCTATTTTGAGGACTGGGCTGCCAGCTTGTTATTAAATGGGATACTCTGTGTACATGTACTTTTGGAAATGTGTTAATTGTCCTTGCTTGGATCTTTGTGGTGCTAAATTAACCTGGGACCTTTAGAGAAGCTCTGGGACAACAGGTGCAAGTTCCTTAAATGAAATGGCCCCAAGGACAAGGTCCAAACATAGTACTTATTTCACACCAATCCACAAACTAAAGATAATAATTAAACTATCTTGTTTAATCAGCATTTTATTTATTTAAATAATTTATATCCCTCCTCTCATAAAAAGCTCAAGGCAACATTAAACAGCGGACTGCAGAATCAAAGAGATCCTGGTGAACTGCTGCCATCCCTGTTTCTGCATACTTGCTGTAGGAGTGGAATACCAAGTGCCAGTATTGCATAGGGTGTCGAACTTCAGAATGAGTAAATCTAGGCTGAAATCTCCACTTGGTAAGTTACTGGGTCTAGGACACCCAAGCTTGTTGAGTGTCCTAGACCCAGTAACTCTCAGCTTAACCTGCTTCACAGAGTTGTGTCAATTAGGGGTGTGTCATTTATGTCATCCTGAGCTCTTTGAAGAAACAGAAAGGTAAACGTGTAATAAGTAATGATAGTACATCATAGTGTTGCACAGTTGGTTGAGTTGTGAGCCTGAATCTTGACTAATTTCAGGATGAATACTGGCTGTTGTCTAAGAAGGAATCACTTCCACTCCTCTGCTTAAAAACAAATCCGGACTATTTTCAATGGCTTAAACAGCTGGCACTTTCAGACCTCTGCTTTTAACTTTTTGGACCCTGTTTTCTTCTTTTGGACACTGCTCTCTGTATAAATGCTGATGGAGTCACTGGCCACAAAAACATTGTTGTTTAAGAACTTCAGCCCTGAAGAAGCAGAGACATACTGGCTCCAGGCTGAGGGACAGAGATCTGACAGAGAGGTGCATAGTTAGCATTTAATATATGTAAGACATTAACATGCTCAATTTGCTTAACAACAGAGCTGGCACAGGAACATTTTGCATATAGGCAAGTTACACCTTAATAGAGATTGCTTTGCTGAGCTGAAACAGTTTTGTAAAATGATATGAGTGAATAATTCAACAGAGCTGCAAAACTGAACTGTGGAATGCTATTGAACTCCCAAGGTTATACAAATGATAATATTTAAGCACATTGTTACTGAAATTCCCCTCTCCACTCCTCATTTAAAATAGGACATTCTCTGATTGCTTCCAGATGAACTGTTTATTAAGCAGTTATCTTGATTTGTTTACACAAAGGGTTTTCGTTTTTTGGTGGGGGGAGTAGATGATGGCAACTATTTACTGAGTATTCACTGTTATTTGTTTACAGAGAGTTGATATATCATTGCATCAAGCAGTTCTTATGACACACTTTCTGGGCATTCCCCCCTCACTTTTCTTATTGCAAAGAGCCTAGGGTTGCAGAAAAGTGGGTTTGTTGTGCAAGAGTTACAAATCAAATTTAATGACACCACCTGAATTTGCTGGTGACTTAATGCCACTCAAAAATAGCAACAGCCTGGACACGCCCTTTACACCAGCTGCTTTATTTACTTGTGTAAACAACTAGCTAGTTTAGTTGGTTGCATCTCATCCCGAATCTTGTCCCTGATTAGGAAATTAGTTCTGGATTTCTTCAAGTGAAAGTTAATAGTCCTTCGAAATAAGTGTTGGGTCAGTCCATCAACCTCTGGTGGATGATTTAGAAGGATTGGTTCTAGCATCACTTTCGCTGTGTGTGTGTGCCAGTTATCCATACTCAGCAGTTACATCTCAATGCAGCTCCTTCCTTGGAATTGTCTTCGGGGTTGAAGGTACACACAGTAGGCAATAAATACTCATGGACGCCATAAAGATTCAGTCAAGTGTAGAGGTTTACTTGACAGGCATAAAAGCATATCAGTAGCAAATATATATACAGACATTCACCACTGCCATGGTCAAGGCATGCTTAGAGTTCAACAAGGGTCCAAGCCTCTCTCTCTGCTCTCACCACAAGATGCAAGCCAGAGACTCACAACAAATTACACAAGTTACACAGAACCATTGCTATCAGTACTTCCTGTCACATTGCACATGTCCATAGAACAGTTCCCACAGAAAATGTCCTTGCATAGACAAAACAGTCTCAGCCTTCTGCTGCTTCTTGAAACTTCTCTGTTCTTCTCTGTTTCTGGAACAAATGATTCTCACACACAGAGAATATCTAACAAGAAGAACTGACATCAACCACAGCACTCTTCATCTTTGTTCACCCAAACATAATGGATGTCCTTGGGCTTAATTGTTTCCCCACTATTCCTCCCCTGCTGAAGGACATACCTATTTACAATTTAAGGTACATCTACCTATGCCAAAATCCAATACACCTTTTGTTTCTTTGTGGTTGTTGTGTTCAGTTATCCGCTTCTTTGCTAATTCATGGAGATGCTCCAAGGTCACATTCTATTTATTTGTTTGGTGCACCCACAGGTTGGTAGGTAGGGATGGGGAATAAATTCAATTTAGTTCACATTCAAAGACAAATCTGGTAATTTGCACTTTCCAAAACAAAATGAGACCCAAAATGCATCCATCCTTCAAAATTGGCACTTCTCTGAGTTTTGCAATGCAGTTTTTCAGCCAAGTAATATGTACAAAAATGCACAGACTAGGATAAAATGTACATAAAAAATCAAATGTTAATGAATATAATATACAAAAGTGCAGTATGTTTAGGGAAATTGCTTTCTAAAGATGCCTATCAGGAGAAATTTGCACTAAAATGCTTATGAATTTTAATGAGGACTTTTCTTTTTTAATGCAGACATGTGGAAATGTGGAGAACTGAACTTAAAACTGGAAAATTGAGAAACTGAAATTGACAGATTCATCCATCACTGTTGGTAGAGCACACAAGCAGCTGTTCTTATGTTTTCTTTTCATCCATTAAGTCAAAAAACAACAAAAAAACACTTAAATTTTGGGGTGAAAAAGTGCACAGCAAACACTCAAAAGGGAACTTCGGTGCTTCAGTGGAAAATGAGGGCAAGCTAGAACTGGAACAAGAGACACCCAGTCAGATGTATCCTTATTTGGTCCTCTCATCTTTTATGCTGTCATTCCAAACAACAGGGCTGACAACTAACAAAAGGATATTTACTTGGTTAGTCTGCTGCCTTATTTGAATTTAAATGAAGTTGCATATTACGATAACTTCCATAAAGGTGCCTTCTTGAGATACTGTGATCTTTAGCCATGTGATGCCGTAGCACTACTGAAGATGAGCAGATCTGGATTTGGCCAGAGCCTGGATGCGAGGCCTCCTGGGAACCCTGCATACTCTGCTGCAAGCTTCATGGAGAAATGTCACAACTGAAGCTTGTTGGGGGGGTACTGCACTAAACACTGGTATTTGTCAGGAAACTACAGAATTGATCTGGATTATGGCTAATGTGGTGTGAATGTGTCTTTAAAAAATTAGCAGTGGGAGTGCACTGGATGCAGAATAAGCAGTAATGTGAACATATCCTGAGCTACAATGGTGCAGGGCAGGGGGATGTAATTGCCTTGAAGTTTTCTGAATATTTAGCTTTACAACTATTAGTTACTGCGTTCCTTTCTAAACCTTGTGAAAAAAGAGAGTGCGAAGCTCACAAGGCAGTTTGCCCAAAGCAGAGTAAACTCTCTTGCCCATGAAGCCTTTTTAAGTATTACAGCTGTCCCTGGAACTCCTTGTCAAAGTTTGTTGTTCTGCAGCTAGCGTGCCTATTTTTATATTCCCCTCCTGGGCTTATGTCCTAAAATCTCTGCAACATGCTGAAGTCTATGGGGATTATTAGTGGCATATGTATTTTCAGGGTAAGAACTCCCATGGACATGGAATAGGAGAACTCTGATAAACTTTCAGATAAGTCATTCTGATTTTTCAAACTAAATACCCCCCTCCAGTTTCCTTTCTATTACCTTGTTTAAAATAAATTGTAGGAATTGGTTTATCATGTCATTTTATGGCCTAACATTAGGGTTATGCTGCCCCAACCAAATTTTGCTTGACTAGAGTACTGATTAAAAGTCCAGAATTATTGGTTAATTCTTTCTTAGTGGAAGCCAAGGATAGTAAGAAATCTTATGTTTCCAAATAAGAGACACCCATCAGAACTTGGGGAAGCACTTTCTCCCCACCACCACCCTGCCTCTTAGAGAGAGAGAGAGAGAGAGCGCTAAGAAAAGTAGCTGTGTGTATGTGTGTGAGAGAGAAATGTCTGAAGCATTTTTGCCAGAAAAAGGCAAACAGCAAGCTGTGGACTGGTTGAAAGCACCCTTGAAGGTGCAAGTGCTCTCTCTGGATAACTGATAGAGCAGGTGTCACCAAAGTTGCACCTGTAGGCACAACAGTGCATTTGAGATTTCCCCCAGCTGCCCACAAAGCCGCAGCCCACAAAACTGGAAGGAAGAGACCAGAGGGAGTGGCACCCATGGTACTTACTTAAAAATCCAAATGCGCCCACAGGTCTAAAGAGGTTGCTGAGCCCAAGACATAGAAAATTTGCTGCCTTGTAGAGGTGCTTCTTTGTTCTAAAAAGAAGTCTGATGGATCAGACCAAAGTTAGTCCAGCAGCATCTTTCCAACAATGGCCAGCCAGGTGCCTCCAGGAAATACACCAGCAGGCCTTGAAAGCAACAGCCCCCTGTTGCTCCCCAAGGGCAAGGCATACTACCTCTGAATCTGGAGGTTCTTTATAGATTCCCATGACATATATACAGGCATTGATAGATAAAACTTGGGGCCATCACCCCAGTCTTATGGCAGCAAGTTCCACAAATTATTATTTATACAAGTGTACTTATATACTAACGTAAAATATATACCGTATTTTTCGCCCCATAGGGCGCACCGGCCCATAAGGCATACCTAGATTTTGGGGGGGAAATAAAGAAAAAAAAATTATTCCCCCCCCCCAAGGCACGAGGCTGGGGCAGGGGAAGCCCGTGCTTCCCCAGCCCCCAGAACAGGCTGCTCTCCGAAAGCCGTGGGAGCCCTCCCGCTCAGCGCGCCGGGCCTTCGCGATAAGAGGCAGCTCTGCGCAAGCCGGGGAAGGGCTCCCGCAGCTTGCGCAGAGCTACCCGAAGCCCCGGCGCGACTGCTCAGCGCGCCGGGGCTTCGGGATAAGAGGCAGCGCTGTGCAAGCCGGGGGAGGGCTCCCGCGGCTTGCGCAGAGCTACCCGAAGCCCCGGCGCGACTGCTCAGCACGCCGGGGCTTTGGGATAAGAGGCAGTGCTGCGCAAGCTGGGGGAGCCCGGCGGGAACTCCCGCGGGCTCCCACAGCTTGCGGATAGCTTCCTGAAGCCTGGAGAGCGAGAGGGGTTGGTGCACACCGACCCCTCTCACTCTCCAGGCTTCAGCGAAAACCTGCATTCGCCCCATAGGACGCACACACATTTCCCCTTCATTTTTGGAGGGGGAAAAGTGTGTCCTATAGGGTGAAAAATACGGTACTTATATATGTACTTATAGGGAGTGGGTGGCGCTGTGGTCTAAACCACTGAGCTTCTTGGGCTTGTTGATCAGAAGGTTGGCGGTTCAAATCCCCACAACGGGGTGAGTTCCCAGCTTCTGCCAACCTAACAGTTTGAAAGCACACCTGTGCAAGTAGATAAATAGGTACCACTGCAGCAGGAAGGTAAACAGTATTTCTGTGTTCTCTGGCTTCCATCACGGTGTTGTGTCGCACCAGAAGCGGTTTAGTCATGCTGGCCACATGACCCGGAAAGCTGTCTGTGGACAAACGCCGGCTTCATCAGCCTGAAGCAAGATGAGCGCCACATCCCATAGTTGCCTTTGACTGGACTTAACCATCTGGGGTCCTTTACCTTTACCTTTTTACCTTTACTTACATACTGCATTTCAGCATACAACAGAATTTTGAAATATGTATTAACACAAATTAAAGATGTGTTTTCTGAAGAAGTACACTGTCATTGTATGTTTGCAAGTAAAGCAAATTATACAAAAAATGCTGTAAGTTTGCCCACATTCAGAGGAAGCCACACTGGGATAGTATTGCTCATGAAACTTCTTGGGAAGTGGGGCCACCCAGAAACATAAGTAGCAGAACGTCAACAAAAACCTTTAACATGATAGTGGTAGCTTTTCAAGTTCCTTCTGTGATACCATCATTTCCACAGATTTTACCACCAGTTTAAAGCTGGTCTATAAGGACTGCTGTTTTTCAACAGCTCAGAAAGGGCTGTGGCTGAAATAGAAGAGGTTTATGTATTTATTTTGCTGGCATCCCTTGTTAGCCCTGTCAAACATTTCTTGAAGGAATTTGCAAGCAGCCCTATTTTTAACAGCCGCACTATATTATCTTCATTACACATGAAGCTGTTGGAACATTTGACTGAGTGGAGGAGGGCCCAAGTGTCACCCACACGCCTGTTGGCTATCTCACTTCTCAAAAGTTTGACTCCTATGCACTTGGGAGGGATCTCTGGGGGAAGCTGCATTCATCCTGTATTACACTGCTTTGTAGAAAGGTGATATGCTGAGATTTTTTTATGTGGTGTTTATTTTTACAGTATGCTTCCTTAATATTAAACTAGCAAGACACCAGCATGAGGCAGGTGCAGTAGTAGCAGCAAGGGACCTATACATTACAGTCAAGGCTATCTCCAGATTTGAGGAAGCCTTTGGCAAAGTGTCCTGTAGTTGTCCCTGCACTTCCAACATTTGACAGATGGCAGATTCAATTGCCCACAATGCTCCAAAGTGCCTGAATTATCATTGCTGCAGTGCACTGTGGGAAATTAAAATGTCCCTACAGGGTGTGTGTGCATGCACCATTTTAATTTTCTACAATGGTCTTGAGTTATGCTACACTGGCCGAGCTGCATCATTGTGGGAAATTTATATGTTCACCCACCGCTACCACAGAAGCCTTCAGCCTGGGGTCCTGCCAAGATGCTGAAGTCTCACCATCTTGCCAAGTTTACTAGGCCTGATTAAAGCATTTTCTGAGAAGAGGCATTACTCCACCACCCCGTGTAGTCCACCTCAGTGGAAAGCTAAATTACCAACAATGGATGGACATTTTGTTCCCAATGCCACTTCCCTCAACTGCAGCACTACAGCACCTCCTATCACGGACCTCTTGAAAATTGCTGGGGGTCTTGGGTGGACCACTTAATCAACATTCATTGTCCTTGTTCTAATGAGCAAAGCACATACATAAACTGTATTTTAATAGCCCTGACTTTCTAAAGCGATGGAAAATTCCGTAAAGTCTGGTGCAATTCCCCCCCCCCAGTTTTAGAAGAGTCAAGTGGATATTCTCAACTGTTCCAAAAGCTTTACATGGATCACATGAATGGGGATTTGTAGACCACAGTTTGAGAACTTCTGGTACAGAGTGTGTGGATGGAACCCCAAGATTTCATGTGAGAAGGTCCATCCTTTTCTCAACTGAGCCAGCTTTGGAGTTTCAATCTAGGTTACAGTCGGTGTCAACTCAGTACATCCGTGCTATTAAGTTCTCTCACCAACAAATAGGAACCTGAGAGACCAAATTACAGAGCTTTCTAAGATGCTGGCCAGACAGGATGTATTTCAGAATATGTGAATTATAAAATACTTCTGTTTCATCATGCATATAATGCCATTAACCAAATAATTAACAGGAGAGGTGTCTACGGACAATGTGTGTTATCCAATAGATTTTTCATCCTGACCTCTCTGCAGCTGCTCTTGTTATTTTAAGTTACATGTCCCCTAGCAAGCTTGGTAGACAGTGTATGTCACAAAAATGCCTCCTGGAAAATACAGATGAGTCATTGTCAAAAAGATCCCAAGGTCATTACTCTATACAGCAGCACACTAGTACAAGCTTTTGGACTGTTGTCCTTCTCTGGTAGTGACCTCTGTCTTGAACATCACTGACCACTGCAGGAGGACACTTCTCAATGCAGTTTTATATTCTGCTGAGCATGACTGTTACCAAAAAAGGTTTTTGAAAGTATGAGCATAGAGATTGTCCTTTCCCTCCCATCTCACAGAAATTTGCAACACAACCAAGTGGAACTCAGTTCACTTTACCTCACTATTTAAAAACAAGAAGCTGTCAGAGATAATCAGATGGTTTACTCAGTAAACTGCATGGACTCCTTAAAAGGGAAAGGAAGACAAGATGACTAGCAGAACTGTGACCTTCTGTTATCTGTTCTTCTGCAACATTAGACTTTGCACTGGCAGTTTTAAACCACAATCCACTTACAAGAGCAGGACCATAGCAAATAACTCTGCATGCATAAAGCCTCAGGTTCAATCCCTGGAAAGTTATAGGTTCTCAGGTAGTAGGGATGGGAAAGAGCCCTTCCTGAGGTTCTGAGAGCTACGATTAGTTAAGGGACAGCCTATATTTGCACTTCTGCATTCGAAATGTAAGCTTAGCATCCAACCTTTTGGCACAGGGATGGGGGAACCTGTGGCTCCTCAGATGTTTTTGGACTCCCATCAGCCCATAAAATGGCCAAAATCTGGTGGGCCACATGTTCCCCATCCTTTGAGAAGATGCATGTGCTCCAAAAGGGGACCACCTTTTTTGACGTCAAGGACTGCATACTATACATACCAGTGGTAGCAGGCAGGGCCAACCAATAGGAGACTCTGCATTCATACCTCTCATTCACACAAACACATCTATTCACTCAAATGCACATCTTACCCCATTCTTCCATCCTTTCACTCTCTTCCATTCATTCTCTCTTCTGCTCTCTAGCACTATGTACACATCTTTGATTTAAGACACAGCAAGGTACTCTCCCTAACAATACATTTCAAGTAGCATTCATACATGGCTGCACACACTGGAGAGGGGGTAGGTGTCTTCACCAATGTGCGTTATTACTTTTTGGTTTCCTTGCATATACAACCCCCCAAAAAAACCCCTTCTATTCATGAAGCTGTTGTCTGTGCATGTGCAATGGCTATCTCAAATGTATTTACCTCCACTTAACTGCAATGGGCATTTTCAAATTGGATGGAAGCTGTTTTGAGGAGAAATGTCTCAAACTGCCATGTTTCTCAAGAAACTATAGGCTAGATCTGGATTGTGGTTAACACCAAGTGTGCAGGGCTTCGAACAACAGCAGTGGGAGAGCACTGGAACCAGAATAAATGGTTATGTGTACACAGCCTAGGTTTGGGGGAGGCCAAATCAAAGCAGGTCACATGGGGACAGAGAACAGATTTCTCACTTTTCAAACATAACAAAACAAGCCAGGAAAGAGGAGGCAAACAACCTACTTGTACTTCTTTTGTTGTTAGCCGTGATAATATTGAAAGCACTCCAAACCCTCCTCCTAAAAACATTTTTCCTAACTGCTAGCTGTCTTCATGTGCAGCATATGGCTGGATACAACCCAGATGAAAAATGAACAGGTATGAATAACGATAGGAAAAATATCACAGTGGTATACAGAACAATAGTTTTGCTTTTGTATCCTGATGAGAACCAGTATGGTGTAGCGGTTAAGTGTGTCTGACTAGAACCAGTGAGACACAGGTTTGAATTCTGTCACATAGCTCCCTGGGCGACCTTGAGAAAGTCATCACCTCTCTTCTTAGCCAACTTGACAGGACTGTTGTCAAGATAAAGAGAGGATGAAAAACCATACCTGCCATCCTGTGCCCCTTGGACAGGTGGTGAGATTTAAGAAAAAGGTAATAACATTGAATGCATTTCAGGCCACAATCCAACCGGGTTAGGGAAGGCATGCTGCTTTTAACGTAACTGTGCTGAACTGTGACCTTTAAGTGCTTGCAGAATTGTGTCCACTGGTCCAAATAATGATGCCTCAGAGCCTAGATCAGGGTTTCCCAAAATTGGGTCTCCACCTCTGTTTGGACTACAACTCCCAGCAGAACCAGTGAACAGGGATGATGGGAATTGTAGTCCCAAAACAGCTGGAAACCCAAGTTTGGGAAACTCTGGCCTAGATAAAACCTGTTCATTTCATATGTATTTTTAAAAGTTATTTCTAAAAATAATATAAAACATGTTTATAAAAAAGGAAGACATGTTCATTTTTAATGTTTAATACTTAATAAAGAAAAAAGTGCAAAGTCACAATAGCTTTAAACCATCACAGAAACACACACTGCATTTTAACCAACAAATACAAAAATGGCCTACAAAATCCCACATGACATTAATCCACCCAATTTCAACATGTCTACGGCCTCTGAAAACACCTACTGTAGCAAACTTTTGCCTATGGCAGCCTTCTGCAACCTGGTGCCCTCCAGACATTTTGAACTCCAACTCCCAGCAACCCCAGGCATCAGGTTAGGGGTGGCTGACCTAGAGCTACAGTTCTCACACTGGAACTCCAACACCTTTTCCATTTCACTTGCACAGATATTGAATACTCCCATGACTTTGGCCCCAATCCAGCTAAAGTTGAAGCCAATGGAAAAAGTCAGTTACCACTAACTTGACTCCTTCGGCTTTAAATGGAATTAAGTCCTGCATAAGCTGGATCAGGGCCTGGGTTATTATATTAATGGGTATTAAAAAGCACTGGAAGAAAGTGTCACTTGAAACAGAATTCACTTCCCAAGTGTGCTTAAGATTGCAGCATTAAGGAGAAAAGTGCCCCACTTCTGAGATAAACTACAAGCATATATTCTACTGCATAACATTATACCCGCCCCCAACTTCCCACTGTTCATATTCAATTTTTTAAAAATGTTTGAATAAGCTCTGCCTGTGAGTAGAAACATTGTCTGCGGCAATGTTATTAATCTTTCTAGCTCGATGCTATTGAAACACAACTATTAAATAGGACAGACTGGCATATATGTGACAGGTTAGATCCTAGTAAGTTGTATTCTCTCTGGATAAAAACAAGCGAAACAGCAGCTTGTGCTAAGTGACGATTCAGTTTTAGGTGTAGAAAACCAGTAATGAAATATGCCTAAGATTCTAAGTTTGAATCTGTAAGTGCATGTCCAGCCTTAAGCATCCAGTTGCAAAATTCCTCTGGCAGAAGCCACAACTGTTTTGCATGCAGAAAATATCTGGAGCCTCATCTGTACTATACAAATGAAATAGATTTCAATTATTTTTAATGTTTTAAACAGTTGTTTTTAATTGCTTTTTACTGTTAATATTGTTTTATTTTACTTTGTAAACTGCTTTGATGTTTTATTACCATCAAACAGTATATAAATCTTATGAAATAAATACAGTTAAAGCACTATCGTGCCGCTTTCAAAAGGCATGGCTTGCCCCAAAGGAAGTGTAGTTTGTTCAGGGTGCTGAGAGTCGTTGAGAGACTATTCCCTCAACAAAGCTGCAATTAAATCACTCTGAGAATTGCAACTTCATGAGGCCAAATGCTATGGGGCATACTTCTGAACAGACCTGAATAGGATCGGTACTTATTCTCTGAAGTAGCCATGATGAAAATTGAAATGAGGGTGCTCTTCGTTCTGGTAAACTTTTGTCTCCAGCTCTGCCCATTGTCCACTCTGGCTCCACCCACTGCCAGTATGCAGCCCCTGACAGATCACCCCCTTGGCTAGAGAAGGGTTGCCCTCACCCCTGGCAAGAGCAATTCTTAGCTAGAGTGGACTGAGTTGATATAAGACAGCACTGAATGTTCTCAAGTCCGATTCCTTCCTTCTTGGCCTGTTAAAAAGTCACCTATTTGCTGGCTTGGGTTGGTTTAAAAGGAGATTGAGCAAATTCGGGAAGGTTAGGCCTACCAATGGCTATGGACAGGATCACCAAATAGAGGAGAATCACAGGATCATCACACCACTGAACCTCAGCTGCTGGTGCATGTGTGTGTAACAAAAGTTGAAGAGTGCCACTGCCTTGACATGCACTTCCCAGAGGCATCTGGTTGGCTACTCGGAAGCAGACTGCTAGACTAGATGGATACCTGGTCTAATTTACAATCAAAACTTCAGCCTTTCGTGGATTTTTAATTTCACACACCCCATCCTGCACCACATGCAACGAAACCTAAGTCACACAGTTGTGGAAGCTTAAGAATCTAAGAAGAGCCCTCCTAGTCAAAAAATTCTTTTTTCACAAGGGCCAACCAAATGCCCACATAAAGCTTACATTTTGAGTGCATCTCAATTCTTCTTGCCTATTGTGATTAGAAATAAATGTAAGAAAACATGCACATTCTGGGTGCATGATATTTAATTTTTTATGTTTATGTACCAGCACCAAATGTAGCTGCTCACTCTTTCTTTCTTTTAGTGCTGAAGTATTATAGCACCCTTATCGTTATGACATAGCTTATAGCAACTGGATACAAGGCGTGTTAGCACAAGCTAATGGTGAGTGTGCTAAACTTTGCAACATCACAGCCCCATTTCAGCAAACAGGAGTTGTGCAGGGACTCACTTTAAACAGGATGGCCACTTTTCATTGGTCCTGTTCCTGTGAATTTAAGAGCAGCCTGAAAAAAAGTCACTTAAGAGGTGAAGATTCTCCCCCTGCATTTTAACTCCATTTCTGTGAAAATGCTTAAAAGTGAGAGCCTTAATCCTAATAAAACTTGCATCGCTAGTAAAATATGCCCACTGTTTTAGTGGTGGTGGTTGTAGTGTGTGTGTGTGTGTGTGTGTGTGTGTGTGTGTGTAAAAGAGAAATAAAACAAGGTATTAACCTACTGTATATGAATTCAACACATTTTCACTCATCTTCTGTTGCATCCATTTGGTTGGGAGAAGGACCAGAACTCAGTGGTAGAGCATGTGTAAAAGGTCTCAGGTTCAATCTCCAGCATTCTTCAGATACAGCTGGAAAGACTCTTGTCTATAACCTGGAGAGTTGCTGCCTGTCTGTGCATGCAACACTGTGCTAGATAGACCAATGGTCTCACGTAGTATAAGGCAGCTTCCTATCTTCCTACTTGGTCACCTACTGAAAGGTACGGTATATTTGACAGATCAGCAATTAACTGGGTTGCCTGGCAACACTATTCATTTATTTTTGCTGTTTTTTTTCCAACTGGTTTTGCGCAACTTTCAGTTTTAATAAATGGTTCCAAAAGTAAGTGAAACTTATCTGCATATGCCATAAAGACATTTTCTCTAGACAAGTCCCAGGTGACTTAAATTGGATTGCTCTTGAATACTTTTTAAAGCTGCTATAGTATCATAGCTTTCTAGATTTAAATGAGGTTGATGGTTTTCCTGTAGAGTCAAATACTCTCAGACTCAGGACAATCTTTGAGACCCAATGGCATTGGCAAAAGGAGACCTACTGTTGTAACATGTGAACACATGTGCATTCAAAAGATCCTGCTTAAAAAAATACTCTTATATAACTTCATTGTTAATGGCTAAGTTAAGGGGAGTCCCCCCCCCCTTTTAAAGTCAGCTATATATAAATGGCAATCAAGCTCCTAGATTAAAAAAAAAAGTTGACAATATTCTTTTCAGAACCAAGGTCCATCATAATCTTCTTCCTCCTCCTCCTTCTCATTCAGATAAAGAACAGCCGTTTTTTTCTCATCAGAAATCACTGATCTTTGGTCTACCATCCTTTGAAGTTGAACAGTCTGATCAAATGTTGACTCCTCTAATCTTTGTTCACTATCTGTGTCCTTCTGGTCATCCTTCATGGTGCCCTCCAGCTGTGAGGCAGCTTTTTTCCTGTTCGGTACGAGAATGGTAGCATCTTGCCTTCCCCCTTCCACATTGGTTACATCCATCTGAAAGGTAAAAGACTTTTCCTTGGGTCCTATCTTTATATGCCCAACAGATTTGCTGCTTTCTGAGGGCCCATCTGTTGGGGATAGTTCTGCAGTTCCGACCCTCACTGTTTCAGAAATAGGGCCATGAAATATAATCTGTTCAGCATGAGTTTCAGCTGGGCTGAGTCTGATGTGCCTCATTGATCTACTGACCTCCATGGAACCTCCTTCTTCCCAAATGTCTTCCCCTGGAGAACTGATCCCTGAAGATTCTGAAAGAGAACCTTGGTAAACAACACGCTCACTGCTCAGAACTTCCTTCTGCCCCAATTTAATGTGTGTTACTAACCCTTCAGAAGAAAATGTCTGTCCCATTTCACTAAACTCTAGGTGCTGTTCGGAAGTGGGCACCTTAAAAACAATTTCCTCAGTTGTTACAAATGGTTTTGGACTTAATTTGATGTGATGAACAGTGGTATTGGTATCTACCATCCCCTCCTTGAAATGTTTGTCGGGAGAGCCACCAAATTCGGTTGCTTTGAGAAGAGATTCATCATATATAGTTTGGTCAGATATATGGGTGTCTTTTTGTCCTAGACGAATATGTCTCACTGTCTGTTCAGTCACAGTATGGCCTCCAGTGCTACTAAGCTCCACAAATCCTGAAAGGGGCTCTTCATATACAACTTGTTCAGTGTGTACTTGTTTGGGATCTATCCGAATGTGCCTTATCAAACTGCTGCTTTCTGCTGGCCCTTTTGTCTGAGAAACAGCCTCACTGCTGCTGTTTGATGATAAGCCTGAAGCTGGCCCCTCAAAAACAGTTTCTTCAATAATTTGATCTGAACCCAAAGTAACGTGCTTAGAGGACCTAATTTCAGTAGAAAACTGCGCCTGCGTAGGACTTTCAGGGCCACTCATTTCCATGGTTTTATGAACAGGCCCTCTATAAATTATTTTTTCTGTGGTCTGAATTTCTTTAGGGCCAAGATTGAATTCCTTTGTGGACTGACTGATATCTGCAGATGCTCCAGTCTGAAAGCCACCTGAACCAAACTCCAGAGTTTCAGAAATAGGGCCTTCATATAAAACCTGCTCAGTTCTGTGAATTTCTGTTGGACCAACTACAATTTGCTGAAAATGTCTGTTAACGTCAAATGACCCTTGTGAAGAATATTCTCCTCCTCCTCTATTAATTTCCATACTTTTGAAAACAGGGACCTGGTGGATAACTTGCTCGTTTGTATGACATTCCCTGGCATCACTGCTGCTTAGTTTGCTAGAGCTAGAAACCTCTTCTATAGTCCAAGGTGTGGAAGAAACATCTATGTCAACATTCTTTCTACCACCACTGTAGCTTTCTGACTCTTGCTTCCAGCGGTCATCAAAATCATCATCGCTTGGTAACTGTGTTGGCAACTTCATCTTGCCCCAAAGTTCTGCATTTAACTGGTCAGGGTTGAGCACCTGGGACAGATTGACTTCTGCGACTATGGTAACCAACCCCCCCTTTTTTGTGTCCTCCGTTTTTTTAATATCCACTTCTAGACTGCTAGCATCAGCTTGGCCCTCTTCTGTTAATGCAGAGAGCTCCTGTTTCACACTTTCTGGAAGGGTGTGATCAAGCTTTTCTAGTGCCTCTTTCAACTGAAGCTTTGGGTCCTTTGACTCCTGAGAAAAGAGATCCTTTATGGACTCCTGAAATTTTTGCGGGATTTTAATCTCTTTCTCAATAACAATGGATTCGGCATGAGCCACTTGCTCCTTTGGAACCTCCTCCTTTGAAATGTAGGCAGCTGTCCCTCCCCCCATCACTTGGTAAATCAGTTCTGGGGAGCCCATACCTTCATTTATCTTTGTTTGAGATCCCTGCAAGAATTGATCTTGCCAGGAATACTTAACTGTTGATTCTTCTTCAATATGGATTTGACCATATAATGAGGCTTCTTCTTCACTCAAGGGGCGCTCCTCTGGAGTAGACACAAAATACTTTTCTTCATCAACTACATCATCCCCCTCAGATACTTCTTCCACATGAGACACGATCACACTGGGTTGCTTCTGCTTAACATCTTTGATAGTACTTGTGGTAGCTCTTTCTTCATCCCCATGGTATAGATGCCTGGCCATATCAGGCAATGTATCTTCTACTTCCTCTACTTCAAACGGTGTTGAAAACTCCATTTCAGCTGTAGATTCCATTGGCTCCTCAACTATTTCAACTTTAACAGTCCTCTTGCCTTTGCCCCCCTTTCCTTTCACAAGATCTTCTATTACACCTTCATCTGGAATTCCCTTAATGTCTCCCAGAACTTTTTTAACATCTTTCTCTAAGGAAGTTCCCAAGCCAAACTCATCAGAAATGTGCAATTCATCTTGAACTGTAGACTGTATATTGATCTCAGTCTTCACTTTTCCATTCTCTGAAATGTCTTTCTTTTCAATGGAGATGACTTTGAAATCAGAGGTATCTCCACCATCAGAAGGTTTCTGCACGAACCCTTTAAGAATGTCAGAAACAATGGATTCTGCTATACTTTCTTGAAGTAAGGTGTCTATTTTGGAGCTCCCCTTTTCATCTTGGTTAGATTCTTTGACAAGTTTAAATGTGGTGTCCTCCTTCTGTTTACCAACAGAAGGCTTCAAGTCCTGTAATGTTCTTTCTACGCTATTGTCTTTCAGTACTTGGCTGTGAGTATACACTTCTGACGGGATAAGGATCTCAGCACCTTCTTTACTTTGTGTTGCCATGCTCACATTTTTCTCCCTTTGAAATGAATGGCTTTCTTCCATCCTTGTATCTGTTGGAAGATTCTTCCCTGGTGTATCCACTCTAATCCTTTCTTCCCATCTTACATAGCTTCCGGGCTTGGGTGCTTTATCTCCCAAAAGCCCGCTTCCCCTCATGTTATCCTTCATGGTAGATCCTTCCACTGTCTGCTTTTCTTCACTGATGCCTTCCTTAATTTCAGTCTTCTTTTCAAAGCTAACATTGATGGATTTCTTGTCGGTCTTCGCAGTGGCAGAGTCTATCTTTTCCTTGGGCCATCTTTCGTTTCTCTCTCTTCCCTCCAGCAAAGCAGTTTTTTCCTCTTTCATTGGCTTGCTGTCTTTGATCTGTTCACTCACTCTAGTCTGTGTTCCTTCTATGGTTCTCTCATGTTTAGTTTCTTTAGAACTGGAACTTAGCCCAGAAGATGGAAACATAGTAGGAATACCCACTTTCACTCTTGCATTTTCAGAAATATTTGGACTTGTTGTGCCTTTCTGAATAGTTGTTGATTCTTTCAAAAAAGACACAGTACTCCCAGCTTCAGTTTTCTGCCTTTCAGAAAACGTTCTTCGTTCAGCTTCTTTCCCCTGGCTAATAAGATAAGATGGGGTAAATGTTCGGATCTCTCTCTGTTCCGTCATAGTTCTCTTGCGAGTTGTGTCCTTTGTGACGGCTGCAGAAGGGCGGTGTTCTGTCCTGAAGGCATCTCTTCTTAATGGTCTCCCAGGAGTCACTGTCTGCATTCCACCAGTTTTTGTTTGAGATGAATAAACTGCAGAGCTGCTAATATTCGTTACAGGGGATTTATATCTTGTGTCAACATTCTGGATTGCAGGAAAAGTTCTCCTTCCTTTTGCCTGTTGATAAGCTGAGTGGCGGTTGCTGTACTCATAAAGCTTGTTCCGGACACCTGCCGATAGATAAAACAAATGAAAATCATGGCTGTTAACATAGTATACTTAAGTAGTGTTCAAACACAGCTACACACAACTGGCAAAAATTTAATTACAGCATAGCATTAACACATCTAAGAAAAATGGGTGCTGCTTTGTAGTCAAACCATCCATTCCTGCTTATCTTTTCAAAACACAGGTGACAAATGTGGACAACTGCATAATCCCAGGAGGTTTAATTTCTGTACAGTTCATCACAAGGTCCCTAATGCATTGACCATCAAAATAAAAGAGATTTGCACCTGCAGAGCAACAAGCGATATTGGTGTGCAAACAGGATGAAATTCCATGAGAAACATTCAGTTCTTAATTATTAACACCACTCAGCTAGGGAGCCCTAGTATTATGTGCTACTAATGGCTAATCCTAAACACACATTTCCAATTCTTTTCACAGTGGGCGCTAAAATCCATTAGTTAAGACCAGAGCTATGTGTATGCCACACTGATATTTTGTACACCTGCGAACCTTGGGGCTTCCAATGATGCCTCCCTCTTGGCCATGGGTGGCCCTATTTTGGCTGAGAACGTAAGAATACTCCTGCTAGAGCAGAATAGCAACCTATCTAGTCCAGCACTCCACTCTCACTGTGCCCACCCAAACGGCCCTGGGGAACCTGCAAACATCACTTGAGGGCACTAGCATTCTACCTGTGATTTCTAGCAACTGAGATTCAGAAGCATACTGCCTCCAACATACTGCCATTGATAGCCTTATCCTCCACGAATTAGTCTAATCCTCTTTTAAAGCCATTCAAGATGGTGGCTACCGTGCACTGCAGGGGATTTGATTAGATGACCCTTAGGATCCCTTCCAACTCTACAATTCTATTATCGCTGCCTCTTTCAGAAGTGCATTCCACACAATACCTTTTATTATGTAACCTCTTTCACACCTTTTCTCTAAACTGAAAAGTCACCAATACCGTAACCCTTCTTCATAAGGGTTCCCCTTGGTCATTTTGGTATGGCATTTGTGCCTCAACATTCAAAATGGAGGGAATTGATTGTGATTTATAATTATTGATTCTACCTCCCCCTTAAAGAAGGCTGATCACCGAAGAATTGATGCTTTGCCTAGAATGCTGTTTTTGTTTCAAACATTGCAAATTGTGGACAAGATGGATTGTTTCAAGAAGTGGCAGAGAGATATTTCTAGATTTGTCTGGCAGGGCAAGAAGCCCAGAATAAAATTTAAGATATTAACTGATGCAAAGGAAAGGGGTGGATTTGCCCTGCCAGACTTTAAACTTTACTATGAATCAGCAGCTTTTTGCTGGTTGAAAGAATGGCTACTTCTTGAAAACACAGACATTTTGGATTTAGAAGGTTTTAACAATGTATTTGGATGGCATGCATATCTGTGGTATGACAAGGTCAAAGCGCATAAAGCATTTAAAAACCATATTGTCAGGAAAGCATTGTTTAATGTTTGGATAAGATACAAGGATTTATTGGAAAACAAAACCCCAAGGTGGCTGTCACCGATGGAAGCGAAAGCTCTGAAAAGGCTCAATGTGGAGGCCAATTGGCCGAAATATTGGGAAATTTTGGAACAAGATGGAGATAGACTGAAATTGCAGAGTTTTGAGAAACTAAAAAATAAAGTGCGAGACTGGCTTCATTATTATCAGATAATGGAGGCATATAATTTGGACAAGAAAATTGGCTTCCAGGTGGAAAAATCAAAATTAGAAACAGAACTGTTAGAACACAAAACTAAGATTTTGTCAAAGATGTATAACTTGCTGTTGAAATGGAATACTCAGGACGAAACGGTGAAATCTGCTATGATTAAATGGGCACAAGATTTTGGACATAACATTATGTTTGCGGACTGGGAACAGTTGTGGACCACAGGTATGAAGTTTACGGCATGTAATGCTTTAAGAGAGAATATTATGAAAATGATATACAGGTGGTACATGACCCCAGTCAAGCTTGCAAAAATTTATCATTTGCCCGATAACAAATGTTGGAAATGTAAAGAAACTGAAGGTACATTCTTTCACCTTTGGTGTACGTGCCCAAGGATTAAGGCTTTCTGGGAAATGATATCTAATGAACTGAAAAAGGTATTTAAATATACCTTTTTGAAGAAACCAGAGGCCTTTCTCCTGGGCATAGTTGGCCAATTGGTGTCAAAGAAGAATAGAACCTTTTTTATGTATGCCACAACAGCAGCAAGAATACTCATTGCAAAGTATTGGAAGACGCAAGATCTACCCACTCTGGAAGAATGGCAGATGAAGCTGATGGACTATATGGAACTGGCAGAAATGACTGGCAGAATCCGAGACCAGGGAGAAGAGTCGGTGGAAGAAGATTGGAAGAAATTCAAAGACTATCTACAGAATTATTGTAAAATTAATGAATGTTAGAATGATGTTGGATAGAAATTAAGTGGTTTCCAGCTGTAATGCTTTAAGGGATTATGAAAAATGGGTTGTTAATAGGTAAAAATTTAACGTTACTATTTTAAGACTAAAGATTAGGATAAATAAAGAGGGTAAGGATTTGCTGAACCAACAAATTGAACTGGAATACAAAAAAGGGAGGTATGAGGAGGTCCGGGAAACAAGCTAAAGGAAAACAAGCAATGGAAAAATCTGTGTGTTTTTAACTATTTTTATTTTGTATTTTTGTTATTTTTTTTTTCATTTTTATTGTAATATTTTTAAAAAAGCTTAATAAATATCTTATTAAAAAAAAAAAGAATTGATGCTTTTGAATTATGGTGCTGGAGGAGACTCTTGAGAGTCCCACGGACTGCAAGAAGTTCAAACCTATCCATTATTAAGGAAATCAGCCCTGAGTGCTCACTGGAAGAACAGATCCTGAAGATGAGGTTCCAGTACTTTGGCCACCTCATGAAAAGAGAAGACTCCCTGGAAAAGACCCTGATGTTGGGAAAGATGGAGGACACAAGGAGAAGGGGACAACAGAGGACGAGATGGTTGGACAGTGTTCTCAAAGCTACCAACTTGAGTCTGACCAAATTGCAGGAGGCAGTGGAAGACAGGAGTGCCTGGCGTGCTCTGGTCACGAAGAGTCGGACACGACTAAACGACTAAACAACAACAACCTCCCCCTTATTTCTTTGATGTTTATCTGATGTTAACTCTCAATCTACCCCAGCTCCACTACAATCTCTGAAGAACTTCTGCTCCCTCAAATTGCTGCTCCTTGTCCCTGAACCTTTCTTCCCAAGACCTCTTCATGTTACCAAAAGGAGCTACAGAGCTATGCATGTATCACCCCACTCTCCAAGTTGCATGGATCCTCCTGGCCTTTCTCATACTGACATATATTTTCTGAAGTGGGGGGCCTTTTCTATCCATATGAGCTACTCAGTGGAGGCCGGTTCATTCGAGCAAGTGGCGCACTGCCCCACCAACATCAGTCTGACCCCCGTCTCCTCACTGCCTTTTTTCTTCTGACTAGTCTAGGGAGCGGCACCGCTGTTACCTTCCTTTTCCTTAGTCTCAGTGCTGCCATTATACAACTCAGTAAGGAAGAAGATGGGAACAAAACTAGAATCTATTGGCTCTGCATCTCATTGGCTCTGGCTACTGGAGCCTTCCACAACCTGCAGTCAGGTTCTTCTTATTGGCTTCCCACTGGGAGAACAGGATGCTGGACCAGATGGGCCTTTGGTCTGACCCAGCAGGGTGATTCTTACGTTCTTATTGTGTGAAATACATGCTTGATTTGGGCTGCCCTCTTTGGCAGCCAATGTTACCGGGCCATCCCAAGTTCTAGTGTTATGAAAGAGAGAGGGAAATGTCTCTATCCACTTTCTCCTTGCACCATACGTAATTATATAAACCAGTGGAGACTGAAGAGAAATAAAATGACAACTTCTCCGGTCCTCCTGGTGACTCGAGTCACGACGTCTTCTTCTCTCCGCTGCTGCGCACACTGTCCTCAGGCGGGAAGGAAGTCGGAAGATGATGTCCTACTGTGATAGGTCCAGGCTGGAGTCTGGACCAATCACAGCCCGGACATCAGAAAAGTGGAGGGTGTCCCCCTGAGGAGCGCCAATCGGCGCCCCTGCTGGCCGAGGGTGGGGTCAACCCCCCCCATACCCAGGACACAGTCCGGTGCCCACCTAGTGGGCGAAAATTTAAAAAAAAAAAAATTTTTTTAATCTTTCGAAGTTTTCAATTTTTCCCACGGCACACCAGGCAACCAGTGGTTGAAAAACACTGATATAAACCTTCACAGAACTAGAAGCAAGAGCTCCCCCTCTGTTGAAACAAGGATGTGCGGAATTACTAGTGATGGTGCCGACATGTCACTTCCACTCCTTACTCTGAAATGCACACATGCATGTCTGCAATTCATACCTTGTGGTAATTTCCTGCCATGCTCTTCATCCCACATAAGAATCCATTGACTGCTCTCTCCTTCTAGTAAAGCTCTGTAATACACAAAAGCAAGTATTAGAAGAGTAAAGGAGTTGGCATTTCATATGGACTGTGGCCCAGAACGGACATGTCACATTCCTGATCTTCTAATCATTCTAAGGAGACCAGAAGAGTTCTGTGACTCCTACCTCCTCCTTTCCCCTCCTCTCTTGCACACAAACCTGCCCAGAGCCGATTCTGTTTATGCCGTTGCAATATATTCTTCTGAAAACTAGAACTAAGACCTGTGGAAATTCTTGAACAGCTGACTTTAAACACAGAGTTCATTTAAGCTGCCACTTTAATACTCTGCTGGAACACACTTTTGGTTTCAACTCTGCTAAATGTTTCGAACAGATAACAAGATGACCACTTCAACTCTGTAAATGGCTCATCTGGAAGAGTGTGATAGCTAAAAATTCTAGCTCCTAGATAGCATTTTGTAATTTTTTTAAAAAAGAACCACCCAAAAACATTGTGCAACAACAACATCAATAGCCATCCCAGTAAGTCAAATTATTTTTCCTTCTAGGTTACATAAAGAGGTAACATAGCTACGGAACTTCACAAACTTGTAATCAATTTAATAGCTAGTTAAATGGAAGGGAGTGGAGGGGTCAAGCACAGCTAAGTGGGTAAATTGCAGATGGATAGTTGCGGTTATGCTGAAATTGACATATCTGGTGAGGTATCAAGAAAGAAGTTAAAGGATAAATAAGATTATATATCTAGTTGCTGGAAACAGTTTGCAGTCTTTCGGAATGCATGCTTCAATCAAACTGTTTCTTTGATTATACTTGACATTTTAAGATATAGGAAGCAGTTAACCGTATGTTTGAATACAACTATGAAACAGTTGTGTGAAATTACATACTTGTTATGGAATATTTTCCTTTTAGAAAGAAATTTAATAAAATGTATTAACACATACTCACTGTGAAATAGTTAACAATGATGACATTTAATACCATGAACTTTAGATTTGGAGTTAAAACCACTTACTGTGACGGAAAGCAGGGAATTCATTCAGCACACTGAACATTCTACCAAGGAGTCCTTGTCATCACAAAGTGATCTCTAAAAACATGAGGACTAGATATTTGACTAGCTTTTTCAATTAAAAACTATCAGCCTAATGAAGAACCACACGTATGAATCATTCACTGCTGGTTTTACAATCCCAAGTAAGACAATAGCTAGAAAAGTCAGAGAATGGAGATCCTCTCACACTAGCACTTGCTGCCAAGGCAAGGATGGGCTGGCATATGTGAAGGAGCACCTTTTGGCTCCCCCAGTAAAATATTTAAGGGCTCTGGGGGTCCCCAAAGTTGATGGGCATTGCCATTTAAATGGTGTGCGTGCATGCACCAAGTCATGTGATTGATTACGTGGGGAGAGGCTGACCTGGGCCCTTCAATATTTTATTCGAATTGGCACCCCTAGGGAGGGCTATAGGTCAGTGGTAAAGAATCTGCTTTGTATGCAATAGATCCCAGTTTCAATCCCTAGCCTGGCCAGGTGGGGCTGGGAATGTCACCTGCCAATTAGTATAGACAGTCCTGACCTAGGTGAACCAAAGGTCTGATCTGGCTTCCTATGTTTAAAAATACACAACGGAGGCTTGCTAGTAGTTTCCAATTATCACCATCATCATCTAGCTTTGGCATAAGCACCTTTGGCAAACCTGAATTTTGCACATTTTGCAAACCTTTTGCTCTGTGGTTTTTTGCAGTGAACTGTCTATAACATATTGTTCTCCCAGGACGCAGAAATGCCAAATTAAAGCCCCTCCCGCAGACTACAAGAAATACACACAGTCCTCCAGGAAGGATTAAATTATCTCTTCCAGCCCCTTACAGGATGAAGTTCTCTGAAAGTGTTAACTGTGATGATGGAAATTAGGAATGCGGGAAGTTTGAGTAAGGATTTTTGGCCGCTGATAAAACAACAGTTTGCTCGGTTGCTGGAGCAACGAATGAAGTCACTAAAAATAAGTTCCAAGCAATGCACTGTATATGGCAAAGGGCAGCAGCAGCGGCAGCAGCAGCACACAGCAGTCAGCTGGAACCCAGAGCAGTGCTGCTGAAAACAAGCTGTGCATCACAATACAAGCAAACCCTACTTAGAAGACCTTTTAAAAAAGGAGAAGGGGGGGAGATGGGACAGTGGCTCATTCTTTCTAAATTTTGCCGTCATCTTTTCCCTTGTAACCATTGGTTACAAACATACCCAGAATCGGGGGGTGGGGGGTGGAATGCCAAGTAAACCAGCTGCAGAGAGGCAGGTTGTGAAGTAATTCCTTCAATCATGGACAGAACTTACAAGAGCCAGTGTGGCATAGTGGTTAGACTGTTGGACTAGCATCTGAGAGAAGAGACCAGGGTTCAAATCCCCACTCTGGGTGAATGTGAGCCAGTCTCTCTCTCCCTCCCAGCCTAACCTACCTTACAGGGCTGTTGTGTGGATTAAATGAGGCAGGGGAGAGAGACTGGCTCACACAGTCTCTCGGCATTGCCAGGTAAAGCTTGGAAGAAACCCCTGCCTTAAACGCTGGAGAGCCACAGCTATTCAGCATAGGACCCAATGGTCTGACTTAATGAAAGGCAACTTCCAGTGTTCCTATGACATTTGCACTGAATTTAAAAAGAGAAAAACGAAATCAGTACTGTCACTCCTCATTCACCTTTACCAAAAAAACAAAACAAAACAACTTTTAAAAATACTGGTATTAGGATTCTTCCTTTTGGTAAAACATGGAAGGCTTTTATTTCGGCTTCCAAGGAACCAGAGGCTCCTTCATACGGATTTATAAAATTTTCATCTGTGTTCGCAGAGCTGGTGATGGATACCAGCAGAGGGAGGGGCGGGGAGCAAGGAAGAAAACTGAAAGTGATCTATTACTGCTAAAAAAAAACCCACTTATGAGCAGGGCTGGCATCCTAACCGATGATAAATTAACTTCTGGAAAATTCTCTCTCATTAGAAAGGGCAGAAAAACTTCACACAAAATCCAGCATCCCAAAACTGATTGGAAATACCAATCCTGACTGAAAACCTCATTATTTCATGTTCTTGTGACTTTTATCTTATTTTTTTAAACCAAGTAACATTATGTATAAAACAGGTGGGCATGTGGGCAGCCTTTTAATCAATCCTGGACAGAAATAGTTGAAATAGTATAGTATTTTACAGATTCATTTTCCTGTCTCAGCTGGAGCGTCTTGTTCAAAAACAAAGTCCGTGTCTGCTTGGATTAGAACCCACATCATAAATTGACTTGTTATTTCAAATCCACCATCTTCTTTTTCCCACTCCATCTTAAAGATTGTGACCAGATGCAGACTCCATGGCTTCAGCATCAAAGAACACACACACACCCTGCTGCTGACAACAAGTGCTCTATTTGCCATCTAGCCGAATGAAGATTTCCAGAGAATTATACCAAGTCAATCCAAATAGACTGAATATGCTGAAATATCTGCCTTATCTGGAGTAAGTTTGTTCCCACACTGTTCCTGAACTGGTTTTGAGCACTGGTTTGTCATCTCTAGCGATGTTAAATTCTCAAGAATAATCTTTCGAAGAATATTCTCACCTCACATCATTAGTCATCTCCAAGTTAAGTATGTGTGTGCAAGCACACCCTACAGTAACAGATTTTACTACTTATCAACTTTTTTTGTTTTGCTTGTCTCTAAATTTCTCAGATGTTCCATTCAAGCGGAGACATTCAAACTTGCCCCAAATTTTTGCTTTATGTGAAATGAGGTTGCAACTGAACTTAAATGTCCACTGCAGCATAAGAGGAATTTCAAGTGTCTCTTAAGACCACCATCGGTCACTTTTATGATCCTTACCTGTAAGTTTCAATTTCAAGGCTGAGACCAGCTTTCACCTGCAAGAGTTCATGGTAGTCCTTTAGGTACTCTGCGATAGACATGGTTAGGAAATGCTTTTCTTCTTCCAAGGCTTCAATGATCACCTAAAGCGAAACATGAATATAAATTGTTAACTTGAGTGAGCTCACGGGTCAGCTAACTAAAACCCTGGCAATGGCACAATTTCAGAGACAAAAAACCTAATAGGAAAAGATGGATGGGGATTTTGTCTGAGTTAAGAGCTCCAGGGAAGGTGATTTCCCCCTTGAAATCTCCCCCAAAGAGTTCCACCAGCACAGAAACACTTGTTTTCTGGAGGTAACGTTGAGTGAAGATGGGTCATTTATCATCACAACATTTAGGACATACTGCTGTGACTATTCCTGGATCTTCTCTATCTTTTACTTTTAATAATGTTTCTGGGCACTATTGCAATGGGTTCCCTACACAAACTCCACTATGCTTCTATTATTGTAACATTATCATCATTTATTTATTAATTGCCTTCTAAATCACCTTCTCAAGGCAATTTACATAGGAGGCAGTTAAAAACACAAAAACAACAAATACTTTGAAAATAAGTCAAGCCTAACAAGTGGACAATTGTGGTAAGGAGCCATTTGGTTCTGTTCCAAGATGGCGGCGCGTTCATACGCTGCGGCTCTGAGCTCCCAATACCTCACCTACTCACGCACAGCTGCCAAGAGCCTGGTCTTGGCTGGGGAGGGCGGGGTATAAATAAAAAAATATTATTATTATTATCATTTATCCAGCTGGGAAAGCCTATGGTCTCCAGTTCTTTCTAGAAGGTGTAGCAAGGAGGCACCTGTTGTATATTGACAGGAACAGGGGCAGCCACAGTAAAAGCCCTGCTCTGAGCTCCATCACATGACCTGACAACCTATCATAGAATTGTGGCTACTGCTGAGTAGGCTTCTGAGATCTTTGGAACTTGCAGGTGAAGCTCTCCCACAGACCACAGTGGTCTCCTGGGAAAATATAAGGAGTAAGGCAGTTTCTCAGGTAACCTGATCCAGAGCAGTATAGGGACTTCTGTGTTAGGATTGACTTAGCCTGCTAGCAGATTGGCAGCCTATCCTGCAAAGCAAGAGGAAAAATAGTAGCTTTGCAAGGCATGGCTTGTGCCAACTATGGTTTGGCTGACATACAAAATTGGGAAAACAAATGGGAAAGCAGCGACAGGAAGAAAAGGGGAGAAGAGCTTTAGGTATGCAGGTAAAAAAGATGGTTAGGTTCAACACATTTTGGAATAAGTCCTTCTTCTGCAGCTATTTGAAATAACAGTTCTCAACCGAGTCTGCAAACTACTCAGACCGACCTGAGAAGCGTTATTCAAGTACTGCTCCTGAAGAAGGAATTGATTCCAAAGGCTTTGGATTGGATCCCCCAGTCAGTTTACTTAATTAATTCTATAGTCACTCAGAAGTAACACACACACACAGCTTAGTGAAGGGGAAACACTTGTCTCCTGCTGCTTGGCTAGATGGGAATTAATGCACTAATTCATTGCGATAGATCTGTGTTAAAATGCTAATTTTACAAGATGCAGTACCCATCTCCTTTGAAACACCACTGAACAGATCTGGGAACCAGGCCTAACATAGTAATTGCCCAGTTGACTCCAGGGGAGAAAACAGTGCAAAATTAAAGATACAACAGTTTGTGTGTTAGATTGGAAGTTTGGAAGAGAAAGTTGGAAGCGGAAGGTGAGTGAGTTGGTGCCTTTGAGAGTGCAGGACCTTTCTCTAGGCGGTTCTCTGTGATTGCTCATCTAAAGGAAACTAAATGCCAGGCCGTCCCGTCCCTGGAATGTCACTCTGTACAGGGAATACTGGGTGGGGAGGAAGCATGTAACAGTGTTAATATAAATAGTTCCTAGGTTATTTTTGAGCAGGCATTTTCCCATTTGTCTGAAAGATAACCCTGCAAGTTACATTAGGTTGAAAGGTGATCATAGCTCAGTGGTAAAGCTCAGGTTCAATCCCTGGCACCTCCAGGTAAAGTGTCTTAAACAGCGGGTGCTGGAAAGAACCCCAGCTGGTGAGAGCAGATGCCAGGCAAAATAATCTACAATGGCCCCATCTGCTCTACACGTTCAATGCAGGATCATACCACTTTAAATAGCCATGGTTCCCCCAAAGAATCCTGGGTACTGTAGTTTGTTAAGAGTTCTGAGAACTGTTAGGAGACCCCTAACAGCATTCTTAACAAACTACAGTTCCCAGGACTATTTGGGGAAAGCCAGGACTTTGGGGGAATCTTCCCCCCAACAAGCCACCATCAGTATCAGAGAATAAACTTTAGTTCTTGCTCATGGTTTGTTTAGCAAGAAGCAAACCATGAGCTTGGGTTCAGATTAGCCAGACCATGCCTTCTTTCCTTGCAGCAGCAGAAGCAAGAGAGGAATGAAGCACTGCAACTTGATCAATATGCACTGGCACACTGCACACTTACATTAAGCCATAGTTTGTATTAACTATGGTTTATTGTGACATTGAAACCAGGCCTGAGCGTTAATCAGGAATAGTCAACATGGTGCTCTCTAGCTGTTTTGGATTCCAGCTCCCATCAATCCTACCCAGCATGGCCAATGATGATGGGAGCTGGAGTCTAACAACCCATATAAAGCACCACGTTGGCTACCCCAGGTGTTAACCATGGTTAACCATTATGCTTAACCACTGAGCTACTGTCGCATTTTACATCCTGAAAGTTTGGTTGTGTAACAATTTGCAACCTCAGCAGATGGCACACACAAGTGGCATTTTGAAAATCCAGGCACACAAAATCCTGCCCCTTCACAATATACAACATCCCCATAATCTCCAATGGCCCTGCTCACAATGCAGCTGTTAATGAGATAAGCAGAGACAACAGAAATCTACCAGCGTGCAAATAAAACGGCTGTTCGGGAACAAAAGAAATGGTTACCGACAGGAAACAGAGGGAAAGATATGCAGGCTGGATGAATGGCTTTCGTTAACTTTCACAGTGTACTATGGTTACATTAACTGTTCTAACTCCACCAAAACAAAACAAAAACCCACTTATTTCAAGACTTTTTTACACCCTCGACAAAGTGGGTTACTCAGAAGTAGCACCAGAACAAAGACTGCTTAAGGACGTAAGAAGAGCCTGTTGGATCAGCGCACCTGGAAAAGTCCCACCTGCCCGTGAAGCATTTCTTCATGCAGCACATGGTTCAACTGAAATTTGCTATCACAAGATGGCTGCCAATTCAGATATCTTTAAAAGCGCAGTGAGACGAATCCATGGAGGATAAAAGCTATGTGCTGCCTCTGATATCAGATGCACTCTGCCTTTGAATGCCAGCTACTGGGAAGCAGCAGTCACTCCCTGGTAACTTTCTAGAGGAAAATGGTTGGTCACTGCAGAAAAAAAAGATGGCGGACTAAGTAGGCATTTGCTCGAATTCAGCATGGCTCTTTTCATGCCTTTTGAAATTATTATTTTACTTTTATTGAATTACATACAAGTTAAAGGATGCAAAGGACAATATCAAGTGGTATCATCAAAATCAGAAAAACAGCACTGAAAGAGGGGGATGAAGGAAATTGCCAGGTCAAGGGGCAAACAAAATCACCACACAGGAACAGTGTAAACAGAAGAGTTTACAGTACAGCTGGATGAGGGGGAGACCGGGGAGTAATAAAGACAACAAGGGGAAATTACATGCCTTTCCAAATAAATTCATATTTGGCCTGAACCAAAGATCTGAGATTTGAATATTATCATGCCATTGTCTCAAAGACTTTCAAGCCACCTAAAGTGCAATACATTTAAATGGGTGTCAGGTCACATTCAGCAGTTTGCACATTCTCTACATCACATGTAAAGAAATCAAGAGAAGTGAAGGTATGAACTCGAGGTGCAGCAGCAAACAACCACCATAGCTATTAAGCTCCCCACAAAGTGGCTGCAATTGTGGCTTTGTAGAGAGACATCTGCAGATAGTACCACACAAGCATTATCACCACACCCAGCTGCCCTACATTTCCATACAGTGGTGGAGGTGTCATAACACCCATCTCACTGCTGCTGCTGCTGCTGCTGCTGCTGCTGCTTTGGCTAGTGTTAGTGTTGGACCTTCAGAGTTAACCTCCTGACTCCAAGATGGCCACACATAAACTTGTACTCATAATAATAATAATAATAATAATAATAATAAATTTTATTTATAAATGGCTTTGTTTGCCAGGAGTAATGTGAAGAACCTAAGAAAAGCCTGAAGGATCAAGGCCAATGGTACGTTGATTCCAGGTGCCCGTGAGAAACCCGCAAGCAGGACTCAAGCACAAGGGCCCTTTTCCCTCCTGCGGTTTCAACCAACTGGTATTCAAAAGCATTACTGCCTCTGACTGTGGAGGTAGAGCACAGCCCTCCTGGCCAGTAGTCAACAATGGCCATGAATTTGTGCAGTTCTCTCTTAAAGCCATTCAACAGCCTCTTGTGGGAGCAAGTTCCATAGTTTAACTGTGTACTGCACAACTAAGTACAGTCATACCTTGGTTGTCGGATGCCTTGGTACTTGGACGTTTTGGCTCCCGAACGCCACAAACCCAGAAGTGAGTGTTCCGGTTTGCGAATGTTTTTGGGAAGCCAAACGTCCGATGTGGCTTCCATGGCTTCTGATTGAGTGCAGAAAGCTCCTGTAGCCAATCGGAAGCTGCGCCTTGGTTTTCGAACCATTCTGGGAGTCGAAAGGTACCAAGGTACCACTGTCCTAAATCCTACAAGATTCAACCTCATTGGATCTCCACAAGTTCTAGTGTTACACGAGAAACCTCTATCTCTCCACTCTCTCTGCTTCTGGCATAATTTCATAAACTTCTATCACAACACCTCTTACTTCCCTTTTCTCTAAACTAGAAAGTCCCAAATGCTGCAACCTTTCCTCATAATGGAGGAGCGTCATTCTGTTGATCATTTCAGTTATCCCTTTCTGATCCTCTTCCAACTCTACAATATCTTTTTTGAGATGAGGGGACCAGACCAGCAAACATTATTCCAAATGCGGTGGCACCAGTGATTTGTATAATGGCATTATGGTATCAGCAGTTTTATTTTCAATTCCTTTCCTAACAATCCCTAGCATGAATTTTTCACAGCTGTAGCACACTGGGTCGACAACTTCATTGGGTTATTGCTTTCAACTCCGATTTTCATGCCTGGTCAGTTACCGCCAGTTCAGACCTCATGAATAAAGTTTCTCTAGTCTTTCAACCAGCCACTACCTCAGACTGTTTCTGCACTCTGCTGCTACAAACGTGCACCAAGCTCCAACACTATAATATTATAACAATGTTATTATTTGTACCCCACCCATCTGACTGGGTTGCCCCAGCCACTCTGACTCTCCATGTCACAAACTGACACCTTCTCCCACCCCACCCCCCACACCAGGCAGCCATTTTGTCCTGCCACTCCCCATATTTTCATTGTCGCCAAAATCGCAGCCTGCTGGTAAATGAAACTTAGTACCCAGCCGTGCTATTCTAAGCACCTTTAGTCATGTGAAGTGTGAAAAGGGGTGCGACTCAGCCCCTCCAGAGGGAACACTGTGTCCTGTACTGGGGACTCTGGAAGCCAAATAGGAACTGAATCCTTTTGCTTTTGTTTTACCACTGGGAAAAGTGGGATTGTAGGATCTCAGAGTTGGAAGGGATCCCGAGGGTAATCTAGTCCAACCCCCTGCAATGCAGGAATTTCTACTAAAGCATCCATGGCAGGTTGCCATCCAACCTCTGCATAAAAACCTCCAAGGAAGGAGAGTCCATAACGAGGGAATGTTCCCTAGCTAAACTTGATCCCATCACCACTCCTTGAAAGTGGGCGCCCAAGTTTGTAGCAAGGAGAGGGTGACAGGTGCAACCACCCACAGAGTGGCAAAGGCTAAGGAAATCCAGAAGGCAAGTTGCAAGTATCATATTTTTTAAGATGGCTCAGGGGAGTTTTTGTTTTTTTTAATGTCTTCCTAGAAACATCAACTTTGTTTGCCTCCATTTTCCCAGACTCCTATGGGAGCATTTGAAACTGTGGCATCGCTCAAGCTAAGGGAGACCACAGGGACGCCCCCAGGCAAGAAGACAATAGCACCACAGAACCCGGTAATTATAGAGAGACAGAATGGAGTAGTGGTTAGAGTGTCAGACTAGGACCTGGGAATCCAGGGTTCAAATCCCCACTCAGCTATGAAGCTCCCTGGGTGAACTTCACCAGTCACTGCCTCTTAGCCTTTCCTACCTCACAGGGTTGTTGTGGGTATTAAATGAGGAGAGGGGAACCATATATTCCACCTTGAGCTCCTTGAAGGAAAAGGTGGGATATAAATGCAACAAGTAATAATAACAAATAAATTATAATTAGGTAAAACACCAACAAAAAAAACAATGGCTGGAGGTGAGTTTAATAAGCTGTGCTAAACAAAATCCTCATGTTTGAACTAAACATTTAATAAAACAGTTGCCCAGGGAGATTTGAAGTGCATCTCTTTGCATATTTACTCGTAGTTACATCCCAGGGTGATTGGCGGGGCTTACTCCTATGCAAGCCTGCCTACGGGTCCAGCCTTTACAGACTATTGATGGATGAGCTACTGTCAAGTTTGGAGACTGCAGCTCCTGCACAAACAATAAGCCAAATGGGTTTTATTCTCGACGAATGCAGAAGAGCATGTCTCTGAGCTTGGCAAGAGCATTTCCTTTACCCCCTCGGCAACAGCTGTGTGAGAAGCAGGAGATGCAGCTAGTGCGGTTTGCTCCCATCACAGCACTCTTGTGCCGGGGGAAGGCGGGGAGAGCCACACACACCAGCGCTAGTTAGGGGGACAAACGATAAGACCCTGACAGGTTTTAGTTGAGGTTTCCATCGGTGGCCACACTCCTCGGGGAGTAATTCGCGAGGGGCGCATGCCAGTGGTTAGTGGAATAAAAAAATGAGGGGGTGTGGAAATTAGAGAATCGTTCTGGATTAACTAGACAGGAATAAAGACCACCCAGACTCACTTTTTACCATGTCTGTCTCAAGAATATAATTCCTAATCCTATGCTGGTTTACCCCACTGGGTTTGATGAAGCTATTCTCAAAAAATTATACAGATAATTTTTTTGCTTAGTTTTTTTGGGGTTTTTTTTAGTACAACACAGCTACTGTTGAATCACAGCAACTGTTCCGGAAAGTAAGTGCTAGTACTTCATTTTCTCATTCAAGTGTGCTATACAAACATGGCATAATTTGTTCACCAGCAGCTGGAAGGCAAGTCATGAACCCAGGTAAAGTAAAATAAATAAAAATCAATTAATTTTCCCCCAGACACTACATAAAGGAAAAACAACTTCTTATATATAAAGGCAGAGAAAACAAACAGGAAAGAAGGATAAAAGAATGGAGCAGGTTGAAGAGGCATGAGGGGGGTCTCCTGAGGCTGTGGGCTACAAGCTGCCCACCTATGACCTAAGAAAGCCTTTGCCATTAACTCACTAGAAGTCTTTAGAAAACGATGGGCGCTCTCTCTCTCTCTGTGTTCAGACTAGAGCAATAAAGTAGAGTATGTGAAATGCTTCCAACCATCCCATGCACTAGTTGAAAGCTGAACTCACAGCATAAATGCCTCTCGTCAAATAAAGGTGCAGGAGCTCTGCCAGGGGGTGGGGAGTTGGCAACCCAACCAGGGCAGATTCAAAGCAGTAAATAGTCAGCCCTTAATGCAAGCAGAACCCTGCTTGGATCAAGCCAAGGGGCTACTCAGCAAGCATTTCTTTTCATTTTATGTATTTAAGAAAAATTATTTACCACTTAACTGACAAGAACAGAGTAAGCGGTTGACGTATGGCATACTGTGCCTTATAGTGATGCTTCTAGGTTTTAGTGCCCAGCAGTTTGGCACTCAGAGGTAGACTGCCATGGTCCATGGAGGTTCTGCGGCGCCTCTGCCCTCCCGCTCTCCGTCCAGCTCCCGCTGCCCTACCTGATACTCGGCCAGCTCGGCGCCCTGGCGCTCTTGCTGCGCCAGCCGCTCCTGTTCCAAGCGCTCCGCCAGCGCGCCCAGCTCCTGGCAGCGGCGATGAAGCTCGTCGAGCTGCCGTCGGCTCTGCTCGTTGTGGGCTCGCAGCTTCTGCAGGTTCTCCCTGCCGAGACGCCCTTCCAGCTCCTGCAGCGCCTGCAGCTCGGCCTCGTAGCGCTCCAGGCTCTGCTCGCAGCTCCAGCTAAGCACCAGCGCGTAACTGTCCTCCAGCTCCCGTCGGCTGACGGCGCGCGTCGAAGTCCTGGCCGGCGGCGGAGGCAGCAGGGCCGGCAGGCGCTGGGGACGCCGCCGCCGCTCCTCCTGTAGTCGCCCGTGCTCGGCCCGCAGGCGCTCCAGCAGCGCCTCCAGGGCGGCGCAGTCGGCCCGCAAGCGCTCCAGTTGCTGCCGCAGCTCGGCCAGCTCGGGCTCCAAGCGGCGCCGTCGCAGCTCCACCGACTGCGCGCCCAAGCTCTCCAAGGTGGCCAACTCTTGGCGCAGGGCGTCGCGATCCAGCTCGGCTTCTCCCTTGGCCCGGCTCAGCTCGCTCACCAGCAGGCGCAGCTCGGCCACCTCTTCCTCGTGCTCCTGCAGGCGGCAAACCTGCTTCTCCCGCCCGCGGAGCGCGCCCAGCTCCTGCGCCAGGCGCCGGTTCTCTTCCTCCAGCGCCCGCACCCGCGACACGTAGAGCCACAGGCGGGAGTTGAGCTCCCGCAGCTCGCTCTGCTCGTCCCAGTCCGCCCGCTGCATGGCCGCCACCTCTTGCAAATCAGCCTCGGGTCCACGGACGGCTCCCGTCTTGCTCCGGCGCGCTCCTGCTCCTCTCCAAGGCGCGCTGGCTCTTTGCGCGCCGACAGCTGCTTTGCGGTTTTGGCCCGGGACAGGGAAGGCAGGCTGGGCAAGGAGGGTGGGGAGAGCCGGCAGCCGGAGGTGGCCGAAGAGCGGCGCCTGCTGGCCACATTCCCTTCCAGTCCTGCTTCATCCGGAGTAGGGCAGACAACCTCACTCTGCTTTGTGCTCCCTAGAAACTTGTGGAAACTTCAGATTGTCCAAAACGCAGCGCCAAGGTAGACTACTGGCTGGAGTAGGCTTTAGAAAACATTTGTGTTCTAAAACAGCTACGTTGGCAGCCTTTTGGTTGGGGAGGCCATTTTGAGGTGCTCACATGAGCGCTTAAACTTAGGCCTAAATGAATTAGGCCCCAAATACCAACCAGTTTTCGCCTGGCTGAAGTCAGACCTTCCCAAGTGTCCCTATTTTCCAGGTACAGTCCTGGATTTACAGAAGCAGCCCTAGTTTCTGATTTGATCCCAGAATGTCCTGCTTTTCCATTGGACGTCCCTATTTTCATCAGAGAAATGTTGGAGGGTATGGATTTTGGGGACCCCGAGCCAAGGAAATAAATGACTATACAAACTTTAGAAGACATCTGAAGGCAGCCTTGTATTGGGAAGTTTTTTTAAATGTTTAATTATGTTTTTATATGTGCTGAGAGCCACCCAGAGCGATTGGGGCAACCCAGTCAGGTGGGCAGGGTATAAATTCTTTAAAAATTATTTTCATGAGAGAAATGTTGGAGGATATGTGAAGTAGGCCATCTGTCCTGTATAATACAGGATTGCCCCATATTTCAGTGTAGAATTCTACATTCTGTATTGATACAGTTTTGTCTTGTATTTCAGGTCTCTGTCTCTGTCTCTCTCTCTCTCTCTCTCTCTCTCTCTCTCTGTGTGTGTGTGTGTGTGTTTGCCAAGTTAGGGAATCTTTCCACATGCATGTGTTTGACAGAGTGTGTAAAACGTCATGTATTTTAAGTTCTGGGTAGCCAAGCACAGACAGATTTACAGATTCATGTGTATGTGTGTGCGTGTGACAAATTCCAGACAGGCCATCCTCTTAGGCTACAATAGATTGTAATGGATGGCCTTGAAAGTCACTTCAGCACCAGATGGAAAAAAATGGCCGCCAACTGCCCTGTCCTGTATTTTGCCAGAACAATGGTGGCAACCATACTGAAGTGTGACCTTCAAACTGGGATGCTGCCTCTTGTTTTCTGGGGTCGAAGATGATAGTGTAGCACCCTGCTTGTGGTTAACGCTTAGCTGGAATGAAATATTCAACGCAGCAATAGAGAAATTAAAATAATAATTTATTTGTCAGACAAATAAATGAGAGACACAGTGGTATATGGTTACCAAAGCTCTGCCCACTCCAGCCCTGATGGCCAGCACTTATATTTCCTCAGCCCAGCCCCCTTGCTCCTCCTTTGGCTGCCTCTGTCCAATCAGCCTGGTTGAAATTCCTATTGGCTGTTTGCTAGAACCAATCATAAAAGATACACCCATTTCCTATTACCTTTTATGGGAGACAAAGAGCTATATTTCCTTCTATCCATAAATGGCAGACAAGTAGCCATATATCTTATATTTGCCTCGACCAGGCTCCTTAATTACCAGATAACCTTTGGCCCCTGTTGCCCCTTTATTCCAAAACAAATGGCTAAAACAGATGGCTCATGGTATTAAATTCTGTCTAAACAGAGATCTTGGGTTCACCTTCTCACACACCATCAATGGAATAAGAATCTAACATAAGAATCTAACATTTCTTACTTTCTAAATCCTTTGCATAATTACATTTAAGCCAATATATTTCATACATAACATAGATAGATTTTTAGAAGAAAAGGAACAGTTTCAAAGTAAACCTCTTCAATTTACAACTCCCTTTCCCCAGCCAGCTGCTTCTCCTATTAGCTCTTTCCCTTTAACCTTATGAAAATATGGCTCGAGTCTAATGGGAGGCACCTGGTATTATTTTCTGTTAAACAATAAACCTTACTATTTACCAACTCTTAATTAGTGTTTTTGCAGCTTGATTGTATTCTGTAATATGTATGGTCAGTATGACCTTTGCTCCCAGCCTGTAATTCCCTTTTACAACTTTGAGGTACTGCTATAAATCAGGGGGGCCCTGTTCAAGGGGATAAACAACTGCCAAAGTACTTAGCCAGCTGCTTTATGCCTGGCATGAAACATACAAACATTTGCAAATATATATTTTTAAGCTCATTTTAAAATACAGGCCTTGATCATAAAATACAGGCCTTGATCAGATGCCTCATTAGGTAGACTGATAGTCTACTGACAGGCCGTTGGCTTCAAGCTCCACTTTCTGCTGTGAGCTCCAATGGGAAATGCCTTAACTAGCCATAGAAAACAAAGCCTGAAGCTGATAGATACTAATTTCAAGCGCTTGGGATCATTTGCACAGGGAAAGTCACAGGGAGCTGGATATCTCACCAATCCTCACCTGAGCATTTCCTTTCTAGGAAATTAAAATGGATTTACCACTATCAGTCCTCCTTCCTGAAGAGTTATGGCCTGCTTTTAGTGCCAAACGAGACTTCACCTGGCCTGCTTTTACCCCAGTTAGTTGATCAGGACAGACAACAAACCTCTTTTGTGTCTCTGCTTGCCCCTTGCCTGATGGCACACATGATGTGGTTGTGGTTTTGGGGTAATCGCTTTGCAGGCCAAATTGGAACCCAGGCCAGGCCTGATTAGGCCTGTGGGCCAGAAGTTCTCCACCTGTGGTATAAAGGCAAGAATCGCATTGGTTGCTTTGCCCACTTTCATCTCTGGCCTATTTTTTGTCTGGAGATTTGGAGCAAGGTATCCTCAAGCTAGATGCCATGATAATACTATCATGTCAAATTTATAGGATTCCTGTGTTGCAAAGAGTTGGACTTGATAGCCCTTAGAATCCCTTTCAACCCTACAGTTCTATGATTTCATGAGTAAAAATCACAGAAGAGAATTGTATTACAAAGACACAGTGCAATGTCATCAATTTTGCCTTTGATACTTCCAACCAGGCTTGCTTTATAACTATAACCCATGATTATAGGAGTCAATATGAATCTGAATGTTCAGCATTTATCCAGTAGCTAATCGCAGAAAGTCACATGGCTTGTAAAGTATGGGAAAGAATGCCCTAACTTGGAGGAGAAAAGGCTGAAACTACCTGACTGGTTATCTTTCATAGATTAGCCAAAAGGTTGGCTCACTCATTTGCTTATAGTTCAAAGGCATTTGCTATAGAACTCCCTTTCCTCCAGGAATGCACAAGCAATGTTAGGGTGTCACAGAACTTGCCGGTCAGTAATCACACAGTCCAAAGTTGGAGTTAACACTTTATTAGCAAAAACACAATCCCCACAGACTTGGCTGAGTGTCAGGCCTAATGAGCACACCAGGCCTAATGAGCACACTCTGTGAGTCCTCCTCCAGAAGATCAGTTGCAGTGACTAAAGATCCTTGCTCCCCACAACTGCCTATATATCTGCTCTTCTCCAGGGCTTTCCCCAAGCAATCAGAGACTGCACCTGTAGTCAGCCAAGCTCTCCCCCGCCCTTTTCATGCCACTCCTGGTTCTGGGAGACAAGAGGGGAGCTTGTTGCAGCAGGAGGGAGGGCACCTGTGCCTCTTCACTAGCCTGACTCATCTCTGCCTCTTGACCTCCCACTCGCCAGTTTCAGCTTCTGATTCTTGACTTCTCTCTGCCACAGACTCTCCCAGCTCACGAAGCCTTGTTACCTCTACAGCTTCCGACACCTCCTCTTCCTGGTCTTCTCCTTCTGACCACTCGTCTTCATCCCACCACCACTCCCCGGGCTCTGAGTCTTCCTCCCTTGATGGTCCCCAAGCTGGTTCCTCCCACCATTCCTCTGCATCCAGCCAGTCCATGACATAGGGCAGGCCCGCCAGATGTTTTGGACTACAATTCCCATCATCCCTAGCTAACAGGACCAGTGGTCAGGGATGATGGGAATTGTAGACCTCACCCATAAATGTGCTTATTGCCTTCAGACCTGTAAAAAGCAGTGCCCTTGTTAAAACCACCTGCGGAACAGATGCCCAACAGTTCCTCTGTAACATCTGAATTGGGGATGATCATGCAGGTCCTGGACCAGTGTTTGGATTATTGTTATTCGTTATCGTTAAAATTGTTACCCACCCTATACCCACAGGTTCCATTCACAGAATAGGATGGCCCCCCAGAAACACATCTCAGGAAACAAAGGGCAAGAGGTATGTCTTCGGCATTCACCAAAAAGATGTTTAATGAAGGTGTCGGGTGGGTTTTAATAGTTAAAGGTAAAGTTAAAGGGACCCCTAACCGTTAGGTCCAGTCGTGGCCGACTCTGGGGTTGCAGCGCTCATCTCGCTTTATTGGCCGAGGGAGCCGGCATACAGCTTCCGGGTCATGTGGCCAGCATGACTAAGCCGCTTCTGGCAAACCAGAGCAGTGCACGGAAACGCCGTTTACCTTCCCGCTGGAGCGGTACCTATTTATCTACTTGCACTTTTGACGTGCTTTCGAACTGCTAGGTTGGCAGGAGCAGGGACTGAGCAACGGGAGCTCACCCCGTCGCGGGGATTCGAACCGCTGACCTTCTGATCGGCAAGTCCTAGGCTCTGTGGTTTAACCTACAGTGCCACCCGCGTCCCCTTGGGTTTTAATAGTTAGGAGAGGATATATGAATTGCAGTTTCTCCCTCCAGGCTCCCACATGCGTGGAAGCATGTCTAAAGCTGGTTATACTACTTACAGTGCAACCATCATAGCTTATGGCTCTTTGCTTCAAGAGCGGCTGTGGCACATATTTTATGTGAAAGGCTGTACACCCGGTGTGGGGGAGCTTTGGCCCTCTAGATATCAGATATCGGCTGGGGCCGATAGTAGTTGTATTTCGGCAACATCTGGAGGGCCATTGGTTCCCCATACCTGGTATTATTACCTGGTATTATACATAGGAAGTGGCTTTAAACGTGACCAGCTGTGTATGGAAAACTTGTGCAGCTAAGGACTTCCCAGTGGTCTGTGTCTCTGCTGAAACTGAGTGAGGGGTGAGATGAAAGAGCCTTGACTTCTGCAGGAGAAAGCACCTGAGATGTGTAATAAGAGGACATCAGACCGGAA